GGTTTGTGGGCCTGTTGAGCCGGGCAGGGAGCAGCCCTGTCTCACTGCCGTCCCTCCCACATGTCCTAGGGCAGCAGAGGTTAAGACCCCTTTGTGGGATCGTCACTTTTGGGTCAGCCCATGGAGAAGGGATGGAAGGCCAGTGGTGACCCATCCCAGAGGAGGCGCTGCAGCCCACTCCAGGGAGGCCAGAGCTGCTGCTCCCATCCCTATTTCCCCCGGAAAACCTGAGCCTTCCCCACACAAGCATCTCCTTCCTCTCTCTCCCTGCTTCCCCTCTCTGCCATCTGTCTGTCGTTCTCTCCCAATTCCCCCCTCCTTCCCTTCTGCTTTTTAAATTTATTTTTATTGGAAAGGCAGATTTGCAGAGTGAAGGAGAGACAGAGAAACATCTTCCATCTGTTGATTCACTCCCCAAGTAGTCGCGACAGCCGTAGTTGAGCTGATTTGAAGCCAGGAGCCAGGAGCCACTTCTGGGTCTCCCACGTGGGTGCAGAATCACAAGGCTTTGGGCTGTCATGCACTGCTTTCCCAGGCCACCAGCAGGGAGCTGGAAGGGAAGTGGAGCAGCTGAGATACATATGGGATCCAGGCACATGCAAGAGAGGACTGTAACCGCTAGGCTACTGCGCCAGATCCTCTCCCTCCCTTCTTTTCTCCTCTCTCTCTTGTTTTTGACTAGGCAGCAGTAGCAACATTAAGGAAAAGACATGGAAAGGCCCAAGGTAGACCTTGGTAAGCCCTTGGAAATGGGCCAGGTTTGGCTCCTGCTAAAACAACTTCACCGATCGTTTCATGGAATAACACTGGCCTCTTGGAGAAGTGCTCCATGGGTCCAGGCACCAGCATGCTCACTGCCCACACACTCCTGGACAGCTGCTGACTTTCTGGAGCTCTTCATAGACCCTGGATGTTGGTCCTCTGTGAGCGGCAGAGTTTGCATGCATTTCCTCCCGTGCTGCTGGCTGCCTCCTCAGTTGTTCTGTTCCCTTTGCAGTGCAGAAGTTCCTTAGCTCGCCGTGATCCCACTGCCATCTTGCTTTTACTGCCTGCGCATCTGGGGTCTTGCCTGTGCCCATGTCTTGGGGTGTTTCCTCCACGTTTTCTTCCAATGATTTGATGCTGTCAGGGTGTGGCTCCTTCACCCGCTCGCATTAGTTGTATAAGCTGTCAGGAGGAGCCCCGTTTCACTCTTGGGCACACGTAGAACCAGCTTTTCAGCTCCATTGGGTGAAGATACTGTCCTTGCCCGGGGTTTGACTTCAAGTCGTTTGTAGAGCGTTGGTTGCAGCGGTGTGGCCTGATTTCCGGGATTTCTGTCTGCTGTCCATGTGTCTGCTGTGTACGCTGCCAGGCTGTCGGATTGGAATGACTCTGCAGCACGTCTGAAGTCTGTGCGGGGACGCCTCGGCTTGCTTTTTGTTGTTGGAGATTTCTTTAGCTGTTCTGTGTTATTTGTGTTTCCATGGAACTTGAGCATCGTATTTTCTATATCTGAGGAGGATAGCTTTGGTCATTTGAAGTCACACTGAAAGTCTAAATTACTTTCAGTAATATGGACATTTTAATAATATTCTTCTAATCCAAATTTCCAGTAGCAGATTGTTTTTTGTTAAAAGTTCTTGCTCCCTGTTTAAAAATGATCATTAATCAAGTAGAATTATTTCTTGTTCCTAGTATCCTTAATTTTCAGCGGAAAATCTAGCTAGCAATTCTGAGCATCTCAGTTGGAACCTGCAGGGGGAAGGTGCTGCTTGAGTTGGAGTTCACAAAGTGCCCGTCGTGTCAGGGCTGGAGCAGGGCATCTCGCCTTCCAGGGAAGCTGTGCCTGCGTGTTGAGACCACAGGGATGCTGTGCTTCCTTCTCACCCTTGCTGCCCACTGTCAGCTGTGCCAGGGGATTAGTGGGAATGATGACAACTGGCTTAAGGAGATCAGGGTGGGCAGCACTTGATGACCATGGCATCCTGTGTGGGCACCAGTTCTAGTCCTGGCTGCTCCACTTCCAGTCCAGCTCTTTATTAATGCGCTTGGGACAGCAAAGGATGGTCCGAGTTGCTGGTCCTAGGCACCCACGTGTGAGATGTGGCTATAGCCCTGCTCAACTCTGGCTGTTGCCTTCTGGGGAGTGACCCACGGCATAGAAGATCTCTCACTGTCTCTCTCTTTATCTCTAACTCAAAAAATAAAACAGGTCAGGTTTTGCCCTGAAGCTCCCCTCTCCTATCCTTTAGCATCTAGTCATGCAGTTCTTAATTTTTTCTTGGGGCCTGCCCCCCACACCTAGAGACTCTGCACTCCCCACAGACTTTTTGTGCACTGTGGTCACAGTGGTGATGTTGTGGCAGGGGACCAGGAGGACGAACAGCTCTCAGAAGCTGCTGGAATGTCCCTGCAATTGCAGTGCCAGGGCAGCTTGCCATAGAAAGCCCGTGCTCACATGTGGTCAGCAGTCATTGCTGCTCTCTGGTGATGTGAGAAGGCTGGACCCCTGGGAGGGGTGTGCTCCCTATCCCAGCTAGCTTGCCAGCTGATGGTGGGAAAACTGGGGCTGGGCTACTCAGTGCTGGGCAGCCTGTAAGCCAGGGATGGGCTGCTTCTGCAAGAGGCCCCAGCCACAGGGACAAACAGGCATGTTCCATGTCAAAGGGGCATCGCGGAAAGACACATGGGCATTGAGGGGTTAGCTGTGTTGGTTGCCAAGCACGTGTCTGGAGCGGGTTGTGGCCAGGGGGCAGTGGCTCCTTTGTGCTGCTTTGGCTGAGTGACCAGTGGCTATGGATCATGGTCAGGTCTCTTCCTGTCTTTCCTGGAGGTCCCTGGACTTCCTGCTGTTCTGTTGCGCTGTGCTGACTCACAGGCTCAGCACTTGGCTCTTCTGAATGGGAAAGCAAAGCCTGTTCATTGCTGATGCGCCAACTCCCCGTGGGTCCAACTCCCCGCAGGTGTGTGCCCTCCGCCTGTGCCTTCCCCTCCCTGGCCCTCAGCTTTCCCATCTGAAAAACAGGGCTCTTCCCATCAAGGTCATTCACTGATTCTGATCGAAAGCAGTCTTTACCAGCTCAGGAAACTGTCTGAAAAGCCATTTGGACACAGCAGAACTGCTCCCGTGGATGTTTCCAGAAGAACTGAGTCCTGCATGGTCTCCTGTGCTGGTGGCATCACCAGGAAACTGCAGCAGAAGCCCATCGTGCAGTACGTGCGCTGTACAGTCCAGTCCAGCCTCCGTCCATGGCCACCCAGGCCACCAGGGTCAGCGACCGGTCGCTGAGGAGGGAGAAGCAGCCAGTATGATGCTGCCCTGCAGAGCCGTCCTGCGCTGGCATCTGCCCGACACCCCGAGTGTGCACTTCTGAAGGTGACTGGTGCCTGCAGGGGGATGGCTGCACTTGTGATTCAGCGCAGTGGTCACGTGTGCACACCTAGAGTGTTTCTAGTCCTCATCTGCTAAGTGTCAGCTTTCCAAGGAGTGGCTGCAGGCACACGTCGGTCTGTACAACAAAGGTGTCATTTTGTACATTCTTCCACTCTTTCTGCTACCTCCGAAGATAAAAAGTGTTGGCTTCCATAATTAACTTGTTTCAGGTCAGAGGGCTGATGTTTTCAAATTAAAATATATATATGTTTGAATGGCAGAATAACGCAGAGGGAGATAAAAGGAGATCTTCCATCCACTGGGGGTGCGGGGGCCTGAGGGCTTGGTGCATTCTCCGCTGCTTTCCTAGACCGTTAGCGAAGACTTGGACCAAAAGTGGAGCAGCTGGCACTCCAACTGGCTCTCCTGTGTGGAAAGCTAGCGCGGGAAGCAGTGGTTTAAGCTACCACTCCCCTGTCAGGTGGAGCCCTTGGTGTCAGCATTTATGGAGCCTGCTGGGCTCCTCCCCACGGAGGACGCACATCCTACACTAAGCCCTGGTGGCCACAAGAGGGCACGCGAGCCCGCCTTTTCCTACCTTGCCTCACTACATGGAGAAGTGCCAGGTCCACAGTGGGAGGCTGCCTGGGGTCAGCAGAGAGGCGTCCTGGGGAGGGGCTTCAGGCAGAGCCACAGGGATCAGAGAAGTACTGCCTTCACCCACAGCCAGAATCGTGCCTGCTGGTTTAGTGTTGCATGGTAATTTCTCTTACTAACAAAATGTTTGCAAACTCGGCTCTTGCCTCCAGCACTGGAAGGGTATTGTGCATAAGCATGAATGGACAGATGGCCGTTGTTGAGTCTGCTTTGACTGGATCGTATCTCTGTGTTGTTCTTCAGGAACCCTGGTCCACGGACATTCCCACAGTGCCATGCACTGAGTCTGTGATGGAGTCCTCCAGAGGTGCTGATCTGTGCTCACCTAACTCTAAGTGAGAGTGTGGGTCTTCCCTGGGGTTTTTTGGCGTCCATATATCATCTTGGAAGAAATGTCTGTTGGAGGAACAGCATTGTGGCACGATGGGTTAAGTCACCGCTTGCAATGCCAGCATCCCATGGGGACAACAGTTTGAGTCCCGGCTGCTCCACTTCTCATCCATCTGTCTACTCAGGTATTGGGAAAGTATCTGTGGACTGTGCCCAAGTCCTCGGGCCCCTGCCCGCGTGGGAAACCCAGGAGGAGCTCCTGGCTTCAGCCTGACCTTCCTCTGGCTTCTTGTGGTCATTTAGGGAGTGAACACCATTGTGTCAGTAGTCCTGTCTTTCAAATAAACCAGATAAAGTGTAGAAGTCTGTGGAAGTCCTTGCATAAGTGTCCCCTTTTGATGTTTGATGCCAGTCACGTTTCCAGTCTACCAATAGGGTTCTTCGATCAACAAAAGGCTTTAATTTTGCCATTTAATGTTTTGTTTAAAATTGTTGTTCTGGTGTTTTGTTGCCATATTCATTGCATCACTGCGCAGCCCTAGGCAATGAGGAGTTTCCCTCTTTCCCCCTAACTGACCCATTTAAATTTGCGATCTGAGTTGAAGACCCCGGTGTAGTAGATGGAATATGTGTTTTTCAAGCAGCTCTCATTTTTCAGGGGAGTTTGCCGTGTGTCAGTCGTGAGAGACAGACATATTCCTGGTGGTGAACAAATAGATCCTGAGGTGCTCAGCTTCAATACTGATGGAAACCATGGAAGGTAATTGTTAAATCAAGAGAACTGCCTTGCTTGCTAGCTTGACCCCAAGACATGCTGTCATTGTGTTCCAGTCTGTCCTCAGTGAGACAGTCAGAGCTGGTCTCATGGTTTGTCATCTCTACCCAAAGTAACGTGGCAGCTGTTACAGCAGTTCACTGCTAGGATGAGACAGTGGTTCCCAGGGAGAAGGTGATGCAGCGGGAGGGTTCTTTGCCCTGTACTGACGTAGCACAGTCACCCCTAGTTAAGTTAGCAGATGTGCACCCTCACACAAAGCAGTCTGTCTCAACCCTTTGGGCTGCCGTAACCATGATAAACACAGCTGGTCAACCCAGAGGCCCGTTTCTCATGGCTCTGGAGGCCCTGGGGGCTCTGTGTCAGGGAGGGCTGTCCTCTTGCCGCAGCCTTGTGTGTGTGTGGGGGGGCAGGCTGGGGATATGAACATTTGGCTCATATTGGTCTCAGGGTTTTCTGGTTTTTTCTTTGCAGGGGTGCCTCTTCAGTGGTCCACGCAACAGATAAGAGAGCTGAGCCATGGGTCATGGCTGCAGCTAGCTCTGGCACAAGTCTCTCAGTTCTGCATGGACTCCATGTAGCTGTCACTCTGCTGGTTAAGCCAGCTACTAAGCTCACTTCCAAAGGGAACGAGTTTGCATCTTAATTAAGAAATGAAAAAAGGATTTGTGACCCTTTCTTATCTACCACAATGTTGTTGTTGCAGCACATTTGGTCAAAAAACAGCATGATATCAGGTTATTCAGAAATATGGTGGCTATCTTTCAAATATCTGAAGCTCTTCTCAAGTTCTGTTTTATTTACTTATCTAAGAAATGGAAATACGTCACTCGCTGGCTAACTTCTGAGATGCCAGCAACAGTTGAGGTATGGCCCTAACCTGGGGCCAAAGTCAGGAGCTAAAAACACATTCCAGGCCTCCAATGTGGACAGAGGAACTAAAAACATATTCCAGGTTTCCAATGTGGTCAGAGGAACTAAGAGCCATTCCAGGTCTCCCCTGAGGATGGCAGGAACCCAGGTACTTGAGCCATTGCTGCTGCCTCCTGGGATCTGCACTGGCCAGAGCCGGAGCCCTAGATGTGGTCCCTGCCAGCCAGTGGGAGACCAGGATGCAGTCCCCAGCTCCTGGTGTGGGCCTGGGCCAGGACCTGTCGTGGCAGCCAGCAGAGGGAAGACCTCTCTCTTTTTAGCTCTACCCATCTCTTCCTCTCTGTCATGCTGCCTTTCAAATAAACAGATATATAAATCTTTTAATATTAAGTATCAAGTTAATACAGTCGTTAAGGTCTGCATGCTGCTGAATGTTGTCTGGTTGTTTCATCAGTTACTCTAGATAATTTAATAATATATACTTATATATAACATAAGACCTGAGGCCATATGCATATATATAATTATATATAACAATATTGTATATAATATTACAGGGATTCACTACCTAGTGACACAGTAATAATATTATTGTCATATAGTTTTGGGAAATATTGCACTTTGGGCATAGTGCATGAAAGATTTGTGGCTATCTGTATTTCTTACAGGAATGTGCAGGAATGATTATCTCAGATTAATTTGAAGGAATTGAAAGCCAGAGCCCAAATACAGCAGACTGCTCTGTGAGTTTGTCAGTTGGTCAGTTATGGCATGAGCCTTAGAACTCTGACATCATAGTGCTGGGTTGGCCTGGCTACTGCTGAACCCTCAGTCTTTCTAGAGGTGCCTGCAGTGTTTCTACATGCTGGTATAACTGAGTCCATTTCTACGCCCAGCATAGTGGAAAAGAGAGTCTTTTCAGGAGCTGAGCACAGCTCCAGCCCTTCTGAGAGTGACCCTAAGGCCCACGGCACAAGGTAATCTTTTCACCCTCTACTTGTGATCCCCCAGGCTGACTAGCAGTCCCAAGAAGAAATCTGAGCTGCCTCACTTAAACATGGAGAGTAACTCATGATTTTGTTTATAGTGTGAGAAGGTACTCAGGTTCTTTTGATTTAGTTCTGCTGACCTCAAGGGAGTAGGCTCTGTGTTATGGCTTTGTGTCATCAGGGAGACGATCCTTGGGCTCCTGCCCATGTGATGGGGTCATTCTCTCTGGCCCTTCAGTTCTCTCTGTCTTGCATAAATGAATCTAGATGATAGCCTGATGTGGAGAGCTTTGGGATTAACTTAGGCCTACAAGGACCATCTCTCCATACAAAGATTTCTCAGTCATTTTTTATCTGCAGTTTCTTTTTGTAAGGAACACATTCTTAAGTGGCATCAAGCAGTAACTTTTATTTTGGGTAGGATGTGTCACTCCACTAACAATCAGCAAGGTTACCAATGACCTTTGTATTACTGTGTCCAGTTTCCAATCCCCAGTAATTGCATGCTTTACCTTCCATAGCTTTTGATGCATCCAATGGCTTCACTTTTGTTGCCCTCTAAAGCTTTGGCTTTTCTCTCCTTCCCTGACACTTCTTGTTTGAGTTGCTGTTTTCTTCCTTCCCATTCCTGTAGGACCTGGATTCCCCTAGATTCTTTCCTGAAGTGTTCTCCATCTAGCTCCCCAAGTGCCCTCTGCTCTTTCAGACCTTTAAAACATGGAACCACATTAGATTTAGTTGGAGATACTTGTTTAGCAAATTGAGGTTTTAGTTTTCTCATGTGTCGCCATCAATGTTTGGCATAAAGCTCACTCTGACACATGTTTGTGGCCATTGACTCTCTACTCTGTGGTGTTTGATGTTGAGCAGGCCCTGCCATACTTCTGAGACCAATGACCCAGAAGCCATGAATCCATTGGAGAATCCCCCAAATCCAGTTTTGGTGCATGGACCCGTGAAGCTAACCAAGAATGGTCGAACTAAGAAACACCAAGCATTTCTCTACGACGAGGTCTTACTCATCTCGAACTCCAAGTAGGTACATGCCGAGCATGCTTTCCTGGTTTAAAATCGTTTTGTGTGCCCTTTCTCTAAGCAAACAGAATGGTTTTGCTTTGGTCATTGCAAATGTTTTGATTTTTTTACTTACCCATGAAGTATTCCTGGAAGGTTTAATCTGTATTTTTTCTTATAGAGAATGCAATCAAGAATAGGAAAGTCAGGGTTCCTCTTTTCTTGGGACTCAGACATATGATAAAATAGGAAGCAGACAATTGAAGGCTGTGGTAAATGTAGACAGTGTCATTATAGGAGGATAGACGTGGTGCAGAGAATAAGGTAAAGTGTCAGAGAGGAGTCCTTGCAACATTTAAATTCCCTGTGGCATGAGAAGCAGCCACCTGTCCTAGACTGTGTGCCCCAAGCTGCCTGACTGCGGTGACCAGAGGCACTATTGGGTGAGGGTTATAGGGATGCCTGGTGGTCCTGGAGTTCATTGCTGTTGACCAGATGGCATGTGAGACTGAACAAGTCTCAGCATTCTGGACACATATGATTTTGACAGACCCTCTAATAAGGAGTTGGGGAATTATGCTTAAGGGTTTTTCTTACAAAAGTGACAATTTCAGGTAAGTATTTTAGAATGTGTTGTGGCTGCTAAACAGAGTAAGTACTGGATGTGGCAACCCAGGTCACTATTACCAGAATCCCACCATGGGAGTGACAGACATAGCAACCTAAGTGACAGGCAGACTTGGAAGTGGACACAACTGGTTACTCATACCCTTAGGCCTGAGCACAAATGCAAAAATACCCAGCCTGAAGCATGGTGACTGTCTAATAAATGCATGCAAGGCAAGAAGGAATGATCTGATCTGCTTATCTACTAAACCCAAGTTTTCATGATGTACAGTACAGAATGCTATAGAAGACAAAGAATAACTTTAAAAATCTCACCCAGAAACATTGTTGCAAATAGAGAAAAGTGAACCTTTTATGTGCTGCCCTACATGGGCCTCCAGTCCTGGCCTAGTGAAGACCAACAAGCCCCAGGCCCAATTTCATAAAACGCACTCACATCTCAGTGACAATAATGTGAGGTCTGAGGGTCAGGGGTGTGTCCTATATGATACTGGGGTTGTCTCAGAAGCACAACTGTTCGGATCATATTTAAGAAACAAGCATCTCATTTGATACTCTTTCTGTAGGTTCAAAAAGAAGTTCACCATCAAATACCGGGTTCCAGTAAACAACATATGGTTTGCTGAAAGTACTGTTGGCGAAGGTGACAGCCGCAAAATAAAATCTCTTCAGTGGGGATGGCCAATGCAGAATTTTAACGCCGAATTTTTGTAAGTACCTTATCTGAGGCTTGTAATATCACTTCGATATGGACACCCATATCGTCTTTGCCTTATCTGAGAAATACAGAGGTGTGTAATTAAATTCCCCACAAAACTTTTTTGGGAAAAGGAAAATGTTTTAACCTGATTCTGTAATTAGTACTGACTCACATTTGTCTTTTAGTCATGGCACTTGCATGTTTTCTACTTTCTCCAAAAAGATTTGATGTGGAGGTTTGTGCAGGAGCCATGGAATGAAAATTTCAAAGTAGTTTTTTTTTTCTTTGTTTGGAGCACTGATTTTCCAAGGGCTTTGGGAGCTCCATGGAGAGTAGGTAGTCTGACTGAGGAAGAGTGGAGAGCAAGCCTCTGGGGACCCCTCTCCATCATCCTCCAGCCTCTATGTCCACACATCAACTGCGAGTTTCAACCAGTAGAGCTGGTCTTTCTTTTGGAAATACAATACAAATACAATTAGAAAAGTCCCTTTCCACTCCCAAGTTCATCCCCTGAAGAAATGGTATTTAATTATAGAAATGCATCTCACCTTCATTCAGATCCTGATTTGCCAGAATTTCGATATGGTATTTTCAGTGACAAGGCCACCTAAAATAAATATTTGATTCAGGGGGTGTGGGCAAGTTTTCCAGGACAAGTTTGAGGCTGATAAGAGGAATAGTGCTGCATTCCCTGGGCATCATGGGAGTGTATCCTTGAGTACAGTGTGTCCATGAACTCATGCCTGCTGCCCTGAGGAGGCTCACCCCACACCCTGTGTGCTCCCTGCTGCCCTGAGGAGGCTCACCCCACACCCTGTGTGCTCCCTGCTGCCCTGAGGAGGCTCACCCCACACCTGTGTGCTCCCTGCTGCCCTGAGGAGGCTCACCCCACACCTGTGTGCTCCCTGCTGCCCTGAGGAGGCTCACCCCACACCCTGTGTGCTCCCTGCTGCCCTGAGGAGGCTCACCCCACACCCTGTGTGCTCCCTGCTGCCCTGAGGAGGCTCACCCCACACCCTGTGTGCTCCCTGCTGCCCTGAGGAGACACACCACACCTGTGTGTGTGTTCCGTATGCAAAGTGCATCACATGTGCTCAATGTCATTTTTTGCTTTCCTCATTCTACTAAAGTCTTACAGGTCACGTTGAATTTGAGACAATGGAAATGTATCCATACTGTTAATGTCAATTATGTGGTGGAGATCTTGACTGAAGGAAAATAGCCATTTATACCGTTCTGTCTGCTTTTCCAGAAATAATTCTAGTAATTCTCAGGTTGTGTTGCTTAATGTTGTCTCAATCTTCAAGTGGTTTTTGAAGCTATGTGGCATTTTGAGAAGTTTGACTGGATACATTTGAATGAGGATAAGTGTGGGCACCCGATGGACACAGGTCGTGTTACCTGTGAAGAGTTTGGACACAAACAAGCAGTTACAACGATGCTCAGGACACAGGACTTTCTGCTGGCTGTTACCACTTTTATGCAAACCAACAGAAGTTAGCAGAAGTGGTACCTACGTGTATAGAAGGATGTAAGTCAGAGAAGGGTCCAACTTGCCACTGACACATGTATTGAGATAGCAGTGTGGAGTGGAGGTACTGTTGGTGGCAGAAATAGGAAATGTTGCAAACCCTGCAGAGAAAACTGTGCTCCCGTGAGTTCAGGCTGTGACTGAGCAGTTCAGCTCTGGAATATATCTAACAATCTGTAAGTACGCATGCACACCATTTTTATCCACGTGTTAGGATCCTGAACCCTAGCAGCACTGCTCCAAAGAACCAGAACTGACCAACAAAGCATGTGCGGCAACCGTGAAGGCATGCTCATGATGTTGTTAGGATGTGGCGATGGTGGAGACTGGAAATGGCTGCTTGCTGAGCTCACGGCTTGTTCTGATAAGGAAAATATCCTGAAACAAGGTGTTAGTACAGAGGCTTGCACAGGATACCACCAGGCCAGTGCTCAAAGTGATCTGTAGTTAAACACGCCTGTTTTGAATGCTAGCAATGTATAAGCCATGCATGTTTGAGTATTAGGAGCTGTTCACTTTAGATATTAAATACATCAGTGATATTCCAGGAAGGATTTTAAACATTTGTCTTTCAGCAATAGGAGAGTTGACATTCCTCAGCACATAGTTCTGAAAAAATGTTTGCTAGGTGTTCATTTAACATATGACAATTCTGTTTCTTTTTAAAAGATTTATTTATTTTTATTAGAAAGGCAGATGTACAGAGGAGGAGAGACAGAGAGGAAGATCTTCCACCCGTTGGTTCACTCCCCAAGTGGCCACAATAGCTGGAGCTGAGCCAATCTGAAGCCAGGAGCCAGGAGCTTCTTCCATGTCTCCCATGCGGGTGTAGGCTCCCAAGGCTTTCCCAGGCCACAGGCAGGGAGCTGGATGGGAAGCGGGGCCGCCGGGATTAGAACCGGTGCCCATATGGGATCCCAGTGTGTTCAAGGCGAGGAGTTTAACCACTATGCTATTGCACTGGGCCCACACACGACAATTCTACAATTCCCATGAACAAGTACAGTAATACGAATCCAATGCTCTGTCTTCTAGCCCCAAGGAATATTTTTCTCTCTGAGATGGGTATTCCACCCACATAGTCAATCTCTTAATTTGTACCTGACCGGAATCATAGTACTTATTACATTTGAATACACTTCAAGATACAAGAGCACTCAGGTTTGATTACTGGAAGCTGAGGCTTACATCTCTTCAATAACTTTCCTGTGGTCACTGACTTAGCATTCCATTGGGCTTTGGGGCCCGGCGCGGTGGCGCAGTGGTTAAGGTCCTCGCCTTGCACCCCCGGGATCCCATATGGACGCTGGGAGCCCCGCTTCTCATCCAGCTCCCTGCCTGTGGCCCGGGAAGGCAGTCAAGGACGGCCCAAAGCTTTGGGACCCTGCACCCGCGTGGAGACCAGGAAGAGGCTCCTGGCTTCGGATCGGCATAGCATCGGCCGTTGTGCTCACTTAGGGAGTGAATCATCGGACAGAAGATCTTCCTCTCTGTCTCTCCTCTCTGTATATCCGCCTTTCCAATAAAAAATAATAAAAATAATAAATCTTTAATAAAAAAAGAAATTTGGGCTTTGGTTTAGAATCAGTTTCTATTGTAGAAGAGTGAGCAGAGTCTATGCAGAGCCCAAGCGTGGGGGGCAGGGAGCGTTTACATCTGAGCTCCTGTTGCCAGCTAGTGCCTGTAAGTATATATGTATGTGTGTATATTATATACTCTTATCTAAATTGAACTTCCAAATCAGATGGAATCCGTTTTCTACGTAGTTTAATATTTTCTCCCACTTCTCTACTTGCAGGTCTGTGGCATTTAAGGAAAAATGGCATCGTCTTCTGGAAAGGTATTTCTGCAGGATGCACATTTTGTGTCTTTAGTTTATGATCAGAGAACATAATCTCTGGAAGCAGTGCCACCACATGATACCTCCTTAATAGCACTTCAGATCACCTTCAAACACTCTCCCTTGGATGTCCTCTGTGAGAGCTGTGGAGCATGCTTGTTCATTCTCATAATGTCCTATGCATTGTTGATGAAGTGTGCCTCCTTCTTTCTCTCCCTAAGACCTTTGCAATGAGGCAACTGTTGTTCTTCGTCTATAGTGAACTCCCATAACCGCAGGCTGCCCTGCCGAGTGACTGTCAAAGCCAGTACTGCTTGTTACCTTTTACATTGTGTGATGGTGATGTCAGTTCCTTCAGTGCAGGCAAGAACGCAACCCTCAAATGACACACCGCAGCACTTACTGGCTTTGAGACCACATGTTCTTTTTCTGAACTACTTTCCTGCTCATTTTGACTTTGGTGAGCCATTCTAAATGTAGACACATTCCATGAATACGTCTTACAAGAGTAAAAAGGCTACAGATAAATGTGCATAGTAATACATGCATAGCCAGTCTATAAATATATGTCTTAGATAAGTAAAGTTTTCACAAACATCATATATAATGTATGTATAACATGCAATGCACAATGTATATAATGTATATAATACACACACAAGTACAATGTATATATAACATACATGTATATATAATATATGTAAGAATGTGGGCTGATTTGAAAACAATTTCTTTATGTTGGGTATTTTATGCATTTTATTAGATCGGTCGTGCATGCTAAGCAGTTGGATGGTCTGCATAACACCCTAGTGAAAATCCATGCAAGTGATGTTAACAACACTTCTTGTGTAAGTGTTTTTCACCAAAAAATTAAAGGACAATTGTATGATTTAGGCATAATGAAAGAGAATCACACAGGGATAGAGGGGCTAGAGAAAGTGAGAGCGATCAAGAGGCAGGGGAGGGGTGACAAAGGAGAGGAGAAGGGAGGAAAGGAGAGAGGAGATGGACTGGGGGTGTTAGTGAGAGCATTTAAAAAGAACCTGGCTTTAATGTACCTTCACATATACATGCAATACTTCATATATGTCTCAAAGGTGTTAGATTACATGAAACGATAGGAATCTGATTACTCAATGCTTATGCTAAGAAAGAATATCTCCTGTTAAATATCCATCAGATGTCTTCTCTTAAACCTTTATTTTCCTAAGTCAATATTCTGGGAATTAAATCTTTCCCTTGGATTTTTACTACTTTCAGACAGTGATTCCATTTCCAGTTTTCATGTTTGTTTACTGTTAAAACACTTTTATTTATTTTGATGGAATATTTTAAGATAGTGCAATGTACAAAGCAGGGATGGATATGCCATGCGCCGTTTAGGCTTTGATGCACATGTGCCTATTTGATATTTTGTCCTGTTTGGATCTGTAAAATGTCTTTTCATTGTCCCTCTAGAAAATGTCTTCATGTGCCTGTTTCCTAAGTCAGTTACGTGTGGTGTACCCTTTAATCCTTGAACACCTACACAAGCCCAAAATAAAATTGTATTCTTGTGTAGCCACCGTCCAGCCCTCACCTGGAAATTGAACACTAATGAAAACAATGCGTCCACCTGTTTTTCATATTCCCCTTGATAGTCACTTTGTGATGCTCCCTTTCTGGGTCAGGACCCACTCCAGGGTCAGCTGCTGCTTTGAGCTGCTTATATCCAACAACTACTTTGCCAGAACTGAATAGAATTCTGAAGGGCCGAAGCATTTAGGAGAGCAGCATGTGTCTGCCTCATCTTCTGAATGCTGTTGGAAGGAGCAGCTTCAGTGGGATCACACTTGATTTCTGAAGTTAGGTGCACTAGCCAATATGTGAATGGGTGTGAGCAGCACAACAGATGCACTCTGTGACTGTTTATACCAGTGTCAGATCACACAAAGTGCCATTGCAGGGGAAAGAGATAGTGCAACAGACTTGTTGGCAGCAGATATTCATCACCAGGCATCTTTTAGCAACTATTTCCAAAAACCACAGGAATCGTCTGAAGGAGTTAAGAATAGAGTTCTCCCATTGGAAGGAACACCCTCCTACCCGCTTTGTTTTCATCGTGGAAAATGATTGCATTGGAAATGATAATGAAAATCATATTGAAATATTTCCAAATCAAACTTAGTTGGCATAACATACGTAAAGTAACAAGACCTTCCACTGTTATTCATTCATACCTGCAAATCTGTTTCCTTTTAATGTTTTTTAACTTTATCTTACCAAAACGTATCATTTTTGGCAGAACAATTCTAGTGCATGCTGATTTTCTAATTTTCTTTCACCTGAAATTGGGTGTGTTTCAGTTTCACAATGGAATGGTGCTTTTTGCTGAATCTAGGAAAAAATGCTTTAGTTGATATTTCCCTCTCCGCACGTTATGGTCCACTGCCGGTTGTTCTGCCTGCTTTCTGGCGACTAGTCGGGCCCTCCTCGGCTGACCTTCTGCGTGTGTCTGCTTTTTCACATTCCTGTTTCCAGTATTCTCTGTTTCTGATGTGGAGAAATTCAACAGTATTGTGGCAAAACATGGCTTTCATCAGTGCAGTCTATTTTGTGTTTTTTATTCCTTGAATTTGTAACTTTTTGACTTTACCATATTAGGGGAAATTCCATTTCTATCTCAAGTCCTCCACCCCTGTTATCCGTGCCTTCTCCCTTTCTGAGTTTCTAAGGATACAGATAATATGTTTTTTAGCACTTCAACTTGATAAACTTCTCAATCACCATTTTCTTTCTTCTTGAGACTGGCTGACAGGCTGGGCTAGGCCACTGCATCTACTGGCACATACAAAAGCCAGACTAAGTGCAGGCTGGTTTTGTGGAACAGCCTCACCTCCCAACTAGACTGTTGGATGGAAAGCTGAGTAGAGGAAAAATCAGAGACTTGTGGTCTGATCTTGGCATGTGTGTGTCAGGATGGTGCCTCATTTGGTGAAGCCTTGTGGTGGACTGCATGCTTATGTGCACATGGGGGACCTGAGAGCCAGCTCGCTGAGGGTTAGAGATTTCAAGTACATTAGAAAATGTGGGAAAGAACAAATTGGACAATTCTCCTGGCCAAGCTTTGACAGCAAGTAGCTGGGTGAATGGATACACTGAGATGGACCATGTCAGTCAATGAACCTTGGAAAGATTTGCTCAACTTTGGAGCAATAAAACTGACAGCATCTCAGAACTATTAAAATACATGCAGTGCACTTGGAACATTCTTCTTCACTTCGGGGATCCTAGGATGACATCAAGTGGCTGAACCCCATCCTCAGATACTGATGTTTGGCTGCTGGGAGCCGCCCTACTTCTCTTCCCTGAACCCTGGCTACTCACCCTCCTGTCCCCACCGACGGAGGGGAAAAACTGTTGGAAGCATTTGTCTCACGTTCCCTCATGCCTCTACCCTCCCCACCTAATCAGTGGTTCACATGGGCACACATCCTTCTTAACATGTAAATAACATCAGAAGTAATTAAAACTAAAGATTGTCTGAGACCTATTAAGGAATTAAAAAATTTTCCATCTTCCACTTGTCATCACACATGCTCCTTTTAGCCTACCCATAATTGTAAGATGTTTTTTCTGACCTAAGATTTCCATTTTCATATATTTGTTGTATCTGTACTAGGATAGCCTATGCATTTTAACTTTTCTCCACATATGTCTGCGATGTCTGGGAGCATAGCACTAACAGCTGAATCTTTTGAAAATTGTAATTCATATAATATCTCAAAAAGACTGTCATCAACTCTTTAAGATCTGGTCTCTTCCCTGGGTCTTCAATGAACAAGTCACACCTCGTATGTGGAAGAATTAGCACTTCTTCCCTTAATTATTATCTGGATTTATTTAACTTACTTGCGTAGGAACAGGCCTGGCTCCTGGATGCTCATGTCTGTTAGGAGTTCTGTGCGCTCCCAGTACTTGAATATCCACTCAGTTCTTAAAGGGGAGATATCTGTTATTCTGGATTGAACTTCTAAATCCTTGGCTGCACGTCCAGGACTTCCTCAGATATGTATGATCTGTCACTACATGGTATTCCACAAATCTTGAACACTATTTTTAATTTTTCTCTTTTTAAAAAGATTCTATTTATTTTTATTGAAAAGTCAGATATACAGAGAGGAGGAGAGACAGACAAGAAGCTCTTCCATGCACAGATTCACCCCTCAAGTGGCTGCAATGGCCCGGAGCTGAACTGATCCAAAGCCAGGAGCCCAGAGCCTCTTCAGGGTCTCCCACGCCGGTGCAGAGTCCCATCGGCTCCTTTCCCAAGCCACAAGCAAGGAGCCTGATGGGGGGAAGCAGGGCTCCCGGGATTAGAACCAGCTCCCATATGGAATCCTGGTGCATTCAAGGCGAGGACTTTAGCTGCTAAGCTACCGTGCCGGGCTCTATTTTTAATTTTTCTATTGTTTTTTCATCTTGTGTCTGATCATTGAGGTATTTCCAAGGTCTTGTCTTCCATCCTAGATATTCTCTCTTTGCCCCAACCTTTGGTTGAGGCTCTCTAGTATATTTTCTACTTGGCATATTAACTTCTTTTCTAATATTTCCACTTCTAATTCTCCTTGATTTTTTCATATTAATAATTTGGTTCTGTGTGCTCCTGAGGAATCCTGTGCTCACTTTTTTTCTACTGGGGTTCAGGCGTTTAATTCATTTTTTTTTTTACATTCATGTTCTCATATAAGCAATTGCTGTGTTCATTTTAGGGAATTATAGTGCCTTCCCTGCTTTCTTTCAGTGTTTCTGGCGAGGGGGGTTAGGGTTAGTTGTGTTTTCTCCCATGACGACTTTTTATGATGGAACTGTGCATCTGTGACTTGGTGAAGTCACTGCTGCTTCAGTGAACACACTGGTTGTGTGTGCTGCATGGAAGCAGTGTCCTTTGGTCAGCACTCAAGTGTGGAATTAAAAGCCAGCATTCTACTCAAGCTGGGCTTGTTGGATCACCTATTTGTCAGCATGGGCAGGGCAGTGATGAGGAATTTTAGTGCCATCACGGCCACAGCCCCTTTCTTTGATTGCTATCGCTGTCTGAGATTAGCCCACAGTGGTTACAATCCCCATCCACACCAGCACATACAGCACACAAAGGATTGGTGCAGTTCTGTTTGCCCAGAGACCCAGAAACACTATCATCGAGACACAAAATTTCTACGGACATGGTGCACAAGACCCCCAGAGTCACAGGGTGCTGAAGCTCACCTCAGGACCTTGAGTCTCCCCCTGACTGCAGAGAACAGAGGCATTGCCAGGGACCTGCGACCTATGAAGGCCCTTTCTTGAAATCCTGTGGCAATGGCCTGCAGAAGGGTGTGAATCTGGGCACCTCGCAGTTCCGGACATATACATCACCCCCTTCCTGGCCACTAGCCCAGGTTCAACATCAGTTGGGGACCTGTCCTCTTGACAGAATCAGAGAATTACGTTTCCCTGTGTAGAGCAAGCTGCCCGTGCTTAGTGAGGCATGCACTAAAGCCACCACAGCCACCACGAGATGCTGGTCCATCCCCTCCAAGCTCCTTCCTAACTAAATGACAGCTGGTCCACCCCTCCCATCTAAGTGTGCCTTGTCCTCTCTGGTCCAGCTGCTTTGTGGAAGAATGGGGAGAACTGTGCGCCTTCCCTGCAGTGACCTGCTAGGAGTCGTTCTTCCTCTCTGGCTGCAGTCTGAGCCCAGAATCGGTGGGGTGTGCCAGACTTCACATCTGATCATGTCGCCCTGATTCCGGCCACCATGGTCTGCTCCCATCTCTGTCTCTGCTTCTGGGATTTCCTCCAGTTTCTAGCTTTGTGTGTCTTCCCACTGCTGCTTGACCTCACCATCCACACTGCTCTGTGTTGTATCTGTGGCTTCTGCAGAATTTCTACCTCTGGATTGTAACCAACTCTTGTCTCCTTTTCTAACCTTCCCTAGTCAGAATTAATGCTGTTTTACCCCAGTCATCCATCTTGACATACCCTTTTACTTTATTTTGTTTATAGAGATATCAGAATCACAAGGAGAGGCAGGTATCCTGCTAGTGATAATCTGGAATGTAGCTTCTTTTTTTTTTTTTAAGATTTATTTCTTATTGGAAAGGCAGATACACAGAGGAGGAGAGACAGAGAAGATCTTCCATCTGATGGTTAACTCCCCAAGTGGCCGCAATGGCTGGAGCTGCGCCGATCCAAAGCCAGGAGCCAGGAGCTCTTCCGGGTCTCCCACGTGGGTGCAGGGTCCCAAAGCTTTGGGCCGTTGTTTCCCAGGCCACCAGCAGGGAGCTGGATGGGAAGCAGGGCCGCTTGGATTAGAACTGGCCACCATATGGGATCCTCGGCACATGCAAGGTGGGGACTTTATCCACTATGCTATCACGCCAGGCCCTGGAATGTAGCTTCTATGTATCATGGTAAAACATTATTTTATGGAGTACATGAATTATAAAAAATAATTCACCCTTCCAAATGAAAAGAACTTCTGTAAATGAGTAATGCAGAGTTTTAATTTCTATGGAAGGATTATCAGGTATTTCCAAAACAGAACTTAAATACTGAACATTTTTGTTTTGAACTGTGGATTCACAATGTCAATGAATATGGGGAATTGCAATCTAAGTGGGTGGGATGTCTGTCTTTGGGAGGGTGCTTTGTAGAAAGTGGCTTACCAAGCAAGAATTGCTGCCTGAGTGTCAGCGCTTATGTGAAGTGAATCTGACTGAACATAAACATGCAAGCAGCAGGGGAAGGAGAGAGTCCAGCCTTCTTTGCAGCACAATTCCCTGTGTGAAGGAAAGAACTTTTGCTACAAAGAATCAGTCCCTGGGCCCTTCCTGAATCTACCTTCTTTCTCTTTGGTCCGATGTTGTTATATTTTCTGTACCATGTTAAAGTATTTCCTATACTTTAATGAAATTCTCCTCCTGACTTTGGGTTGTGTAGAATGACGCAAATACATTATTCAGCATTAGCGTTTTTTATCTAATTTTTATTTAGTAGTCCTCAAACTCCTTGAAACTGGGTAAGAATTTCGTAATTATGGAATCATTTGCTGAAATATTTTTCTGTATCACCAGTTTATATTCTAATTTTCTCTTTTACAGTCTACTATTTTATCAGTTCACAATTTAGATACCATCAGAGATGTTATCAATTTGGCATTGCCAGAGCTAGGATTAACTGTAAGTAACCTGAAAACTACTGTAAAATAACAACTTTGATCTTTGATAACTTTCCGTATTGCTACTGGTACACACCTACAGTGTGTATGCTTGTATGATGTACCGTGATGCATAAGGGACCAACTGCATATACAATGTATATTGCCCATAGAAACATGAACTCACACGATAGAATGCATTAGAGATACCTGTCTGTGTATGGGCATTGCTCTTACATTTTGATTTTAAATTTTGCATGAGCTGAAAGACATAGTTTACTAAAACATGGATATAATTTCAGATTCCTCTTTCCATGAACTTTAATCTAAATGTCATAAATGTGGAAAACATGCTATCAACTTTCTAATATCCTAATACGAAAGTAATAGACTTGTGTGTTGGGTTGCTCTTTCTGTATATTCTCATTGCATTTATTCTATACCTAGTGAATGTATCACTCAATATCATAATTTCACTATAAATATCCCTAAAGTATATGTCTGATATTTTTTGTTTTGTTTTGTTTTGAGAATCAGGTGGGGAGGGAGGGGCGTGGAGCGAGAGAAGCAAGCAGAAAGATAATGAGAGAAAAACAGATACAGGGAACATTCTCTCTTCCATGGGTTCAGACTCCAGATGACTCGAGTGTGCTAAGTCGAGATGACTCGACTTCTGGAACTAAGACCTGGAGCCAGGAATATAACTGATGAACCCCAAGTATTTGATAGGAACCCAAGTACTTGGGCATTCTCAGTTACCTCTCAGGGTGTACCTTTGCAGGAAACTAGACTCAGAACTTAGAACCCAGGTGTTGTGGTACACTTCTCAAGGATCTCGGCCACCGCTAAAATTCCTCTTGTTGTAAATCTTGACATAAAATATATGAATAGAATCGTGCTTTAGAAACTGGTCCTGAGAATGACATGCCCTGTGCCTCTGAAATTCAGTAAAGATAAGGTAAGTTTTGAGTGGAAACTTGGCTTCTGGGGAATGTGTATAGACACCACTTGCATTTTTAAAAATTTCCTTGTTTGAAAACAGAGGCATACAGGCACACATAGTCGAGAGTTCTCTGCTATGGATTCCCTCCACAAATGCTTAGTGCAACAGCAGGGCTCATTCTCAGAGCTGAGAAGCTCATCCAAGTCTCCTGTGGAGCTGGTGGGAATCCAGACACATGGGCATCAGTGCTGCTTTGGGATGTACATCTGCAGGATTCCGGGAGGGTCCAGTGGCAGTGTCCCAGATCCAGTGTCCCGGATTAACCCCACACACTCTGTTGTGGGTGGTGAGTTTTCTATCTGATTTCTAACCCATCACATGCCATTTTTCTTTTAAGTGACTGCTCCCTTACAGATGTATGGGTTTGGCCTTAATTGTTGATGTTTTTCCTGATAAAATGAGCATTTTTAAACTATGTATATGTGGCATTTGATGCTAAGAGTAAATCTCACACAAATAAGTAACTGAAAGCCTATGGTACCCTTGAAGGATGCAGTGGCATTTATATTGGGACCATCAGAATTCCATCCTCTCTCTTCCTCAAGAGCATGCCATTCTATCAGTAGAAAAACAAGGAGTAATTGGATAGCATGGATTCCTGAAGCTGCTAACATTACCTACTATTCTGACACGCTTTGCAGTATTTCTCTAATATATTCTGGCCTTCTAAAAACAATCAGGGCAATTAGAATTTGGCATAAGAAACCAGTTATTTCCACTGCAGCACAAGTGAGTTATATATTTGAAAGAAGGATGAATTGCCGAGTTTCCGTGTACTGAGTAAAACATATACCTCTGCACTGAAGTCTAGTGAGTAATATGTGTGGACTATGGAGAAGAATTAGACCTTGGAGGAGAGTGAGTTGTTATAGGAATGGGGTTGGTGACATGGATTCAACTTTAAATAGTTACTTAAATATAGGGTTTTACTTGTTGAAGTCTCAGAAAAAAAAAGGAGTTTCAATTTAGAGATGAGCGGATTGCAATTGTATCTGAACGTCCCAGTTAAGGCACTGCAGCGTAAGGGTCCCATGCCTTCAAGCAAGAGTTTGGTTAGATCTTTCTGCTTCCAGAGTAACTTTTAGGCAGTGAAGCTCTATGTATGTAAGTGGATGTTTGTGTGAGAGAGCCTCCGTGCCTCCTGGTGCATTTCCTGGATAATCCAGGCTATCATCAGCTGAAAGGAATTAAAACACTGAACAGAAACAGGAAGTTGGTGTGCTGGTTTCAGCTGGCAGTTCTAGAGTTGTGTGGGTAATCCCGTTCTTGTGGCCTGTTTTTCCAGCTGAGAACCCTCCTTCCTGCCATCCCCACAGTAAGAGTGGTGGGAATGGAAGCTGGTGGGTTAACTGCTTTCTCTTCCTTGCCTTCTGGTCCTGTGCCTGCTCTTTCTGGATGGCTGAGCTTATGATGTCATGCAGGTGTCACCTTGTTTCGACAGTCTTGGCAGGCAGTAAGTGTGCATGGACAGGGTCATGGAAAAGGAAATCATGCCATTCTCTAAGGAGTCTGCCGACGGCTGAAAGAATGATCAGGAATAGACCTGTCTTCATCAGTGTAGTAGCATAAATGCGATTCCAACCCTTAGGCCACTTTGTTGACCAGAACTGCGGAACATCAGATCCATGACTTTATTAAATCTGGGGTTCATGCTTGGGGTCTCCGAGAGGGACAGGCGTCAGTTCTCTAAATACGACTGCACATCCCGAAGGATAAAATAGCATTGGCACTGGTCCCAGTTACTTTCTTCTTTGGAAATGCGGAAATGCTCTGGAAATATGTCTTTAAGTTCTCTGACAAAGACACGTTTTGAAGCCAAGTCCTTTTTGTCTCCAAGGGCTCAGAAAGAGATTACCAACTGTGGGTCCATTATGGCAAGACCGAGGCCCCATTCCCACTCATGGGTAAGTGTTCCGGAAAATAAAAACACGTTTGGGGAGGGTGGGGGGGGAATCCCAGTACCTAGAAAACTGTCACATAATGCAATGTAATTTAAAAATAAATAAATAAATAGATAAATAAATAAAGAAAAGATAAAAAAAGAAATAAAAATTGCAATATAAAGCCTGCATAGTCATGTTTGCCCAAAAGATTGAACACTCTTGCAATGAAGAGCGACTCTCGCACTCATCATTCACACATTTTAAACCGAAGCGCCACATGCTTATTCCACGGCAGCTACAGGTGCCTGATCGCTGACTTCACACTCTGGTTGTTATTACAGAAGGAGCAAAGATGAAGTTTATCACCTGCTTTTCTTGGACTTGTTCCTTTCATATAATGAAGTGAAAATGTGATCAAACGTCATTTCTGCGAACATATGCTGGATACATATGTCTTCATTTAAATTCCCCCTTTTACCTTATGTCTCCCTGGTCACCTATGTATTTTTCCTTTCTCTTTTTCTTTTCATGATATGTTTGCATATGCATAGGGATTTCCCCTATTCTTCTTCTATTTTTTTTAAAGAGATTTATTTTTATTGGAAAGTCAGACATACAGGGAGGACAACAAACAGGAAGATCTTCTGTTGATGATTGACTCCCCAAGCGGGCGCAATGGCTGCAGCTGAGCTGATCCAAAGCCAGGAGACCGGAGCCTTTTCTGGGTCTCCCACACGGGTGCAGGTCCCAAGGCTTTGGGCCGTCCTCGACTGCTTTTCCAGGCCACAGGCAGGAATCTGCATGGGAAGTAGGGCTGCAGGGATTAGAACTTGTGCCCATATGGAATTCCGGCTTGTTCAAACCGAGGACTTTAGCCACTAGGCTACCTTGCAGGGCCCTCCCCATATTCTTACACTGTATTTCCCCATAATATTACAATAGTATAGCCCTTCAGCAACAGTCACAAGTTCTTCACTCTGCAATTTAAGTGTGTAATGACATTGTAAATATGGACAATTGTAGGAAATCCAGCATTCTATTGTCAAGGTATAGTTAAAAGATTGATTGGGAATCCTCTTTCTATTTGGGAGTATAGATGCATGCTGCAATGTGCCTCCACTTCATATATGTGTGTGTATCCTGTGTGTGTACACACGTGCATATATACACATATGCACACATACAAACTATTTCTACATGTGCAAGTATTTGTGTGTATACATTTATGTGTATGTAGGCATGCACATATGTAAATCCACCTGTACTTTTAAAATTCACTTGTCTTTTAAAATTCAGCCATACCCGGGCGTGCATTTATGTGTAAGCATGTATTGTGATAGCACTTTGAGATCATCACATTCAGATTCCTCAAACTATTTCTGGAGAGGGCCTCCCTGTGTTTGTTAGCTGTGAAGGACCCCAGAGAGGCCCAAAGACGGAGGGTGTGTAGCAGCAAACCATGTTTGCAATGCCCTTGAAAATCCCTGCATATAGATCTGAAAGTGGAAATTGGAGTCTGTTTTTATGAGCCAACATTGTGAGGGAAAGTTTCTTCATCATAGCAGCTGATGAAATGTATGGCCCAGGTTGGAAAAGACTATTAACCACTGATATTTACTCATGTGTTTGTACATAGAAGTCTATGCAATAAGGAAAGTAAGTATGGCAAGTGCTGCCAGCTTGCTGATAATGATTGCGTCTTTATACAAAAGGCGCAAAATCTAGCTGGCCTCAAGGCAGGCATTAGAAGGCCTTATGTGTTTTCAATGAACATAACAGATGTTATCACCATGCAGTGTCCTGAGGGATCTATGCTTTCCAAGTGAGGTAACGGATTTCTGTTTCACTTTCTCTTTACTTTGGAAACATCCTCTGCTTGGGTACCTTCCTTATGCAGTGTCTCTCCAAAGAGATTACACACGATGCTCACTCATAGCATCGAGCTTTCGTCCATGCAGAAGCCCCAGGGAAGCCTGAGTTGCCTCTAACTAGTGCAGTTCCCCCACTGACAAATGGGTATATTTGCTTATACTTACCAGCATCAGCCTGATGTAAATGGAGATTCTTCTCTGCCTAGGCCATGAAAATCCGTACGCAATTCAAGCACACTACCACCAAGCTTCACTCCATCAGCAAGCACTGGGGAAGCCCACGTCTCCCTGCAGCCTTCTGGAGTCCATCCCAGAGATTTTAGCAGATGGAAAATTGCAATTTATCCTTAAATGCCGAAACAAGACAAGACCCCAGGTTGGAGGCGGTGAGTCCTTTCATCAGACTGCAATGGCCTACCCTCAGCACACATTTGCATTCCTGAGAACAAATTCAGAACACAAAGGTATTCTAACCCCAAGCTATTCCCTACATGGAAGGATGAGCGTGTAGATACAAGGACCCAGTACCTGCCCAGAACCAGCATCAGACAAATGCTTTGAAATCAGAATCCAGCTTCGTTTTAGGATTTTGCTTGTTCTTCTAGTGTTAGAATTTCTGTCAGCTCTTGATGTCCTGTGCATTTTCCCCATAAAAATTAAGCATGCACAAAACGTGTAACTCCAGAGAACAGCTTCTGAGTAGTGGACAAAAGAGCAAAGTGAGTTAAGATGCGCCCTGCAGTGCTGGTATCCCCGATGGTAGTACCAGGTTGACTCCCAGCTGCTCCCACTATAACAGACCTTCCTGGCAATGTGCCTGAGATGGCAGCAGAAGGTACCCAATACTTGGGCCTCTGTCTTCAATGTGGGAGACTCAGAGTTCCCATCTTCAACCACATCCCTCAATGTGGCCATTTGACGAGTGAATGAATGAATTGAAGATCTCTTTGTGTGTCCTTATGCATTGCAAATAGATTTTTACCAGAAAGCATATTGCTTCTGAAGGCCTGAGAAATGATAACTTCCCACTCCAGATCTTCCAGGGGAAGACGAATGAGGGTTAAAAGTGTTGGGATTGAATTCAGATCTGTTATGCTTGGGCTAAAGTGACTGTGGACAGGGTCTTTGCTACATTGATCTGTTCTTTATCCCCACAGCATGTTGCCTTTTCTCACGCTTCAGATGTAGGTCTGCACTAGACAAAGACTGAGGCAGTTCAGAGAACTTTGAGGTTCTTCCCATTTCCCCGTTACTGTTACTGATAAAATTTTCTCTAAAGAACATTAATCAATAAAATGGAAAATATTTTGGCAAGGATACAATAATTTCCACTCACAGTAGTATTATTGTTGATCTATTCTGTGAGTTGTTCCAAAACCTGTATATATTATTAAAAAAATTTATGAAACTCTAAAATATGATTTTGGTTTTTATGTAATGATATTCTATGTCAATATTCCTCTTCTGCAGCATTGCAGATATTGGTTTTATTAGACATCTATAACTTTCAGCGATGTTCAGTATTCCTGATGTGATCCCATTGGTTTATGTGACATTTCTCATATTAAATGGGCCCTGCTTCCATTGGTCACAGTAGCAGCATAAACTCTCACACTACATAATTTAGTTGATGAAAGCCTCAAGTAAACATTGAAAATACTGTTTTTGAGAAAGCACAGGATGTAATGGTATTCTTCTCTTAGCCTTTTGTTTCTATGTAATTCGGATATATAGATTTCACGTGAAAGCATAGAACATTCTGCTTCAGCGCATAGTACAAATAAGTAATGGGCTATGTCTTCGTCATTATAGAGACAATGTAATTAAGTGAGTAACAGGAACACCAGGTTGCACACAAGTTAGGCTGTACTTCTTTGACTTAAAATTTTGAACATGACAATATGCAGAATCAGGTTTCTGGATATGAGATTGTATTTACTACTTTTTAAAATGATGGAACTGTGAATGCTTGGCGTTGGTTTGCTCTGACTTCATGCCCATGTGAAAGCTACTATCACAGAAAGAGTGAAGATGGAGTCTCCATTGGTGGCAGGGAGCCTGATGTCTGACTGCTTAGGTCATCTTATGAAACAACAACAACAAAATCATCCAATGATTTGATGAATCAAGTGAGCTGTCACCTTGAGGAGCACATCACGTTACACAGTGCAGTGAGATTCAAATAGCACCGTTCTTGTACAAGTGGATTGACCCTGAAAATTGAAGATTTGAGGAACTGGGCAGATGAAGTGGCATACCTGGAGCTCATCTCGGTTTCCTCTCTGATTCAGAAAATAACAATTGCTCTCCTGTTATATCTGATGGAGATGCATTCAGGGGCCCAGGAATGCCAAAGAATGGCCAACAAAAGACACTTGGAGGAATGTCACCCGTCTGTGTCACACCCACTTGGCTCTTCTGGCGTCTTTTTCAATACTAGGAGTAAGTGGCTCATTTAAGGAAAACATTTAGTTGCCTCATGACCAAAGCATGAATAGCTGAGTAGACATTTAAAACTCACGTTTTGCTAGTGATCTTATCTGTGGTAGAGCTTGATGAGTAGTAAAAAATCTAGTCTGTGTAGCTTGCCACTCTAAGAGGAAACTAGATTACCCAGGAAGCAACCTGAGCTTTGCGATCCTGTAGAGCGAGAGAGGCAGATGCTGACTGAGTTAAGTCAGGGACCTTGTGACATGAAGTGCAGATCTCTTTGAGTGGAGTTAATTGACAGTGATTTGGTGTACCAAACAGGAAATCTCAGAGGGAAAGATAATATAGTATGAAAATAGACTATGAGAATATACTTGATTTGAATTTGAACTTGAACTACTTTTTTTTAACTTTTCAAGTGAGATCTGACTCCTGAATCCACTGCTTAGACTTAACAGAATGTGCATACAATCCAATGCAGGGTGTTCATGATTCCAAGGCAAAAACTGCCTGAGAAGTATCACTGCCGGAAGAATTGAGCCTGAAAAACATCCTCAACTATCTGAATTTAACTTTCAGTAGATTACTGAATTTAGGAGATGAAACACAAAGAGCAAGGCACACAGAGATAGAAGCTTCCTGTCCTTTTCCACACTCCATAAATGTCATGATTGTGCCCGGGCCAGGGTCAGGGTCAGGGCCGGAAGCTGGGATCTTATCCATGTCTCCCCTGTGAGAGGTGGGTCAGGTTCAGGCCAGGGTCAGGGTCAGGGCCAGAAGCTGGGATCTTATCCATGTCACCCCTGTGAGAGGCAGGTCAGGTCAGGGCTGGAAGCTGGGATCTTATCCATGTCTCCCCTGTGAGAGGCGGGTCAGGTTCAGGCCAGGGTCAGGGCCAGAAGCTGGGATCTTATCCATGTAACCCCTGTGAGAGGCAGGACTGGAACTGGAATTTGGGGACTTATTCATGTTGTCCTTGCCAGAAGCAGGAACTTCATTTTGTTAGCCAGGGCCTAGATTCGTAAGAAGTTGGAATTGGAACCTGGAGGACATCAGACTCAGGTACTCTGATAAGGGCTTCAGGCATCTTATTCAGTAAACACTTGCCTGGCACCTTACAGATAATTTGGAGGAAAATGCATAATGTCACACGGATGCAACTAGCTAATTTCATATGGTAAAAATTTGTATGTGGAAAGAAATCTATGTTTTTTTTTTCTAAATCTGACCCCCAAAAATCTGTCAAATGGAAAATGTAAAGAGAATCTGTCATTGATAGCATACATGTAATAATTTTACTTTCTCCTCAGGATTTTTAAGAAATTGTATGTCTTGCTGGGGCGTTACAGCAGACCAGAACGACCTGTCCCAGGACACTGACTGTTATGCACAGCCAAACGGGCTGGAATTAGAAGACCTTACAGCAGTCACTTTGGTAGGTGTCATTATGATCTTCTGCAGGCCTCCTGAGCACTGAGCATCCTGAGGGGTTAAGTGTCCTCATTCAACTCTGCTTCAGATGTGGCAATCATTTGTCAGCCCCTGGCTTTGGCTGACAGGTTCTCTTATTATGACCTCAAAAACAAGCACAGTCTGATTACAAATTACAGTCTTACTTAAAACACAACAGGAAAAATGCTGGTCTATTTCACTGGTTTCTGCAGTGTCATCCAATGACTTGCTCACTGGTGTCAGAAAGGCATGCGTATTTCACTGGTTTCAGCAGTGTCACCCGGTCACTTGCTCACTGGTGTCAGAAAGGCACGTCTGTTTCACTGGTTGCAGCAGGGTCATGCAGGCGCTTGCTCACTGGTGTCAGAAAGGCACGCGTCTGATTCCCTGCGAGTCCACGTCCCTCATTTGCAGCCTCTTGCTGGAACTGTTCCTCTACTCCCTTTGTCTGGATGAGTCAGACTTCTCACACAACCTCTCTCACGGGAGTTTGATTTGTATTTCAAATGCTTAAACACGTTATTCTCAAATGCATTCATACTTGTATCATAAGAGAATGTGTTGAACAAAGGCCACAGAATTTGGCCTTTGTTATTTCCAACAAGGATTTTTAATAGCATGCACACTGGTTGATTGCCCAGTGTATCTGTTTGCACTCTCCTGTACATAAGAGATGTCTCCTGGGTCGGAAGGAATTTATCAGGCTAGGTCCTTCTTGGACGTTCTCCCAGACCTTACTCCATTCACAAGTTCAAGGAGCTCCCAGGGTCCTCATCAAGATGATGTCATCAATGGGTGAAAAAGTATCAGTAAGATACTACATTATGTTGCAGGCATGAAATATAAAGAGCCTAATAAATGACAAATTCCCTGGGATGTTTGCAAAAACGCGTCTTGCTCTATTGACATTAAGATGAAGTAGAAGGCAGTGGAAGTCTGGCATAATGGGCAGTCAAAGAAGGCATTCTGTCATAAGTGGACTTTCCCCCTGGTTTTAGATGAGTGTAGACAACCACAGCATGTAAGAATGCAGCTCACAGTTATTTAGATAAAGATGGGCTGATGGCAATAACAGTGGCAATGACGTCTTCCTAGTTGGGAAAACAGGTTTTTGGAAATAGTAACAGCAGGGTAGACAGTAGAGATTGATTCACTGAAAGCTTGAAGAAGAAAACTTTGTCTTAAAAGTTTGGTTTCTTGGAAGAGGAAAATGAGGTGAAACTCAGCATTCAAAGTGTATGGGCACAGATTAGATGGATGACTGGAAAATATATTTAGAGGCACTGAAACAGATTTCCTTTTTCCCATCAATCAGCTTTTGCTATGTTGGTTCACGCGCTGTATTGGTTTCTCCACAGATGTAGTTCGTGTTCTGGGCTGGTGGCTGTGAAACGTCCTGTAATTTGTTTACTTTTTATTCCTTGCAGGAGATGCTTCACTATTTAAAGCAAAAAGGGCCATCAACAAAGGGTATTTTTCAAAACATTGACGATATAAAGTCATTTCTATGTCTAAAGGAAAAAATTATGTTTGGATATATATTAAATTGTGAGAATGAGTCTCCACTTGTCGTGGCAGCCGCATTAAAGGTAGGGGGAGTTCTGTTGTCATCAATGCATAGTATGAAATCTCTGTGATGGGTTTCATTTATGCTGGCACTTCAAGAACAGTAACAGGCCAAGTGTTTAAGCATCCAAGAAACTGAAAAAACACATTGGAAATTCCAAATTGTAGGTAACTACTCTCTCTTTTGGACAAATTCTGCATGTGAAACAGGCTTTTCTAGGTTTCAAAATCCACTCCCACTGTCTTCCTCTGAATAATGCTATCATAGTTTCTAATACTTACAGAAGAGCCTTCCAAATTGTTTTTATTCAACCAGAATGTTGGCCAAAGCAGTCCTGCACTTGTTGAGCCTGACAGCATCTTCCTTATGACATCAAAGTTTACTAAAGATATCTCATTGGGAACTGCTGAAAACCACTTTATCAGTTTTCTACATTAAGCAAATGTCTACTTCAAAATGAATTAAAGTGCACACAGAAGCAAAGACGAGGTCCATTGATCTCATGCTACTTTCCCAATCTCTTAAGTCCTTGCCACTCACTCGGGAGGCAAGAATAAAGCTCTTGGCGTTTGGCTTCAGCCTTGACCTGAACTTGATACTTTAGTATTGTAGTCATTAGTCCATGCATGCTCTCACTTTCTGCCTCCCCCCATCTTCCTTTTCCATCACTGCTCCTGACTCCCTCTCACTCTGTGTGTGTGTTTGTGTATGTGTCTCCTTCTCTCTGTCTCTGACCACTGAGAAAAAATTTCTAAAGACTCAAATTTGAGGACAGACTTGTTTCCTGGAGCAACTACCACTTGCAATAGCAGCGTTGTCTATGGTTCTAATCGTAGCTGTCCCACTTTCCACTCATCTCCCTGTTGATGACTTTGGGAAGCAGTGAAAGATGGCTCAAGAGAATGGGCCTCTGCACCCAGGTGAGAGACTCAGATGAATTTCCTGGATCCTGGCTTTGATTTGGCCAATCCCTGATTTTTGGTGTCATCTGGGGAGTGAACCAGCAAATGGAAAACTCTGTCTCTGTAATTTTCCATGTCAGATAAATACATGTTTTTTTCAAAAGCTAAACTGATATAAAATATGCATTTAAAAGTATGCAATGGAGTTACAAGTATTGCGGATTTCTACAGGGATATAACGAAACCACACAAAATGAATTGTTGGTAATTTTAGCCATTGTGAAACAAAAACCTGTTAATTTCATAATAACACATATAAAATTTTGGGAAACTCATTATCCTTGCCTCTTTGTTGCCACCCTGCCCCCCCCCCCAATAATGCCATATGACAAGTAGAAACATTTCTGTAGTGTCATGTAAGCCATCAGCACTATGCTGAGATCATGACAATACAATCTAGGTTGGGCAATCGCAAGTTTCACCACCCTCTTTAACACACACATGCAATTGATGCTACAGTTTTTTGAAAGATGTGGCATTTAGCTTTCTGGAAATGTTGCAGTGTGACTCTGGATAAATATGATGTGAATCACCTGGAGAGTTGGTCCAGACTACAAATAAATGCAAACACCAGATTGAATTTGCCTTTGAGCAACCTAGAAGTAGAGGTGCAGTTGCAAATTTCTGTGTTCCCCTTGGATCCTTGTGTGGCTTTCATAACATACCACATCTATTAACTTTGAAGCCCAAGGAAGCCGAGAGGGAATACCTATCCTGCACTCATGGAAATGCAATACGCAGCAGATCAAGAACCTCCCAAATCAACTCATTTCCAGTGATTCAGAGCTGGAGAGTTCCTCTCACAGACACTTGGGTCACTTCTTGGGAAACAGGGAAAGAATCTATCTGCCAGGTGACTTCATTGCACACCGATGACACAGTCAAGATATAAAAGGACTTGCAATTTCTCTCTTTATACTGTTCCTAGTAGTACAAACTGTGTATGGAATAAACAACCATTCAAGACAATGAACACGAATGAACAGTGACTAGATTATAAACCCCAAAGTACTGGGAGGCATTTACTACACTCAGGGGCCATCCAAAAATGGCATTGGTCCTCTAGTGAGACCAATGCAAAGAAAGCTACCTAGGTGATATGACCAGGAAATACAAATCCCACCATATATTTAACACCACAAGCTATTTTATTTATACAAAGTTGAACACCTTTCACATATTTAACAATATTAATTTCGAAGCCTAGGGAAAATTCCAACCTCCAGTTCCTCCTACTTGCATCCTTACCCTCATCATCCTTAGTTCTTAAAAAATGTTTGTACTGTCATATTTTAGCTTTCTTTGCAGTCGTAAGTTAACACTTAATAGGTAAACAAAGTAGAAGAAAACCCGTTTTTCTTCAAGAATACTTGCAAAATCTATAAACAATAGTCAAGCATCAAAATGTCAGTGTTGCTCACATAGGTTAGAGCTTTTCTGTACTTTGTGTATTAGTTATCCTAAGACCATGGAAAACATATTTATCTTGTTTTGGCCTGGCTAATTTCACTAGGTGCAATGGTTTCTAGTTTTATGCATCTTTCTATTGTTTTTAATGTCTGAGAAGGATTCCATTGTTTAAGATTTGGCTAAGTAGGCAGTGAGAAAGAGGAAAGTGAGTGTATTTGGCGAGTTTATTGCTGAGGGACATGCACGAGTCCAATCAGAACAGATCCTCACTTAATTTTGCATGTGAGCGATGTGTTGTTTGACTTTGATTCACTTGGTTCACAAATTTTGCTGCTGAGACATAAAGGACTAGGTCTGAAATCAACATTTAAGGTACACGTTGTTTATTGTACTCATGTGTTATCATTAACACATGTTCTCAGTTTGGCAGTATGGTTTAGGCTGATGGATACTAGTTTGCTAAAATATGCACAAAGATATATATCTCTATCTATCTATCTATCTATCTATCTGTCTATCTATCATTACAAGGGGAATAAAGCCTCACTCATAGTCTCTGTCTGTCTCTGTTACTCTATTCTTCAAATATTCATCTTTTCATCTTTCATTAACATACACACAAGGACAAACATTTGCATCTGCACACACACATCATCATCATTGTTACTATACGCTAGTTCACTCCCCAACTGACCACAATGGACTGTGCTGGACTGGGTTGGGCCAGGCTAATGCCTGGATCCCAGAACTCCACCTAAGTCTCCAATGTGTCAGGAGCCCAGGCAATTGGACAATTATCCATTGCTCTCCCAGGCACATTAGTAAGGAGCAGCCAGAGATTGTACTGGTCCTCTGATGGGGATCACTGACTTTCTTTGTTAGCAGCAATTTAGCATGCTGCCATAGCTGTGTCCCAAAGAAGAATATTTAGACAATTAGGTATTTTTTGCCCCCCAGAATTTCCAAGACACTGGTTTTACCCATCTCATTGCAGAAGAAATTGAAGCATCCATTTTTGCAAATACACATTGATGTAAATGGCAGCTTAAGTTTTATGGAGGTCACGGTTTGAGTTTCTAGAAAGGGTTATTGGATATTACAGTGAAATGTAATTTGTCATCAAATTTTTATGACTTTTGTTTAAATTTTTGTAAGGATTGTCTTCGAATAATCCCTGGTACTCTTTTTACAACGGAACTCTATGATAAATGGCTTCGTGTTCTTGATGAGGATGAGGAGAAAGTCACAGAAATCAAAAGGTGATTATATAATTAACATCTAATCCAGACATGCTTCCAACTATAGTCAACACAGCTTGAGGAAGACAGTAGCTTCTGCTTTAGAATGTTAACCACAACAAGCATGAGCACCGTGAAGGGGTTCAAGTAGTCACACACACAAAGATCAGAATCAGAAGAGAGGTAGACTTCAGCACACCCACTGAGTGTTGGTATGGAGTTATTGACCATCGGGCACTTCCTGAATGTCATATTGATGGAGCAGAAACTCGCTGATCCCAGAGACATGCCGTAAGAACAGTTCTTTGTTGCTCTCACTGGCAACCTGTCAATGCTAATTACATGGAAAACTATGTATACTTAAAGAGTTGACATCAAACAAGCACTTTTGCTTGGATTCATACCTTAAATGTGTTTTGCTTCATTGTTTGACTATTGCCTTGAGACATCATTCCTTCACTTTACCTTATAAGGTAAAATGTAAGTCACATGCTGTTAAATTTCCTCAGTAAACTTTTATTTTTTTTTTCACACATTCTGAAGTGAAACAACCAATTTTAAGACTTGTGTAAATTGGATATTCACAAAGTTGTTCAAGTGAAAATACGTTGTGATTTTAACCTCCTTCCCGGGAAAAAACCCACTGATATTATTAAGCACTGCTTCTCCATTTGTCTGTATTTTTATTAAGAAAATGGAATTTGAAATATTCTATTCACTATCTCTGTTTCTATTGCTTCAGCATGGAAGTGACTGCACTTATTTTTGTGTGTGTGTGTATGTTTAGGCTCTTACAAAACCTGCCCGTATGTAACTTGGATATCCTCAGACAGTTATTTTCGTGTTTGCATGAGATTTCTAAACAAGCATCCTTCAACCTCATGAGCGCACCAAAGTTAGCTTTTTGCATCACAACAAGTATATTTCCGCTCTGGACATCTACATCAAATTTGGAAAGTGAATTACTTAAAAAGGTAATGAGGTGCCCCATTCCCATTGTGATGAACCAGTTTTTACAATGATAAGTGCCATATTCCTTTTTTCAATGTCAAGGTCACTTATTGTATGTTTGGAGTTGTGGGAGTGCATGGCAATAAGCCAGGATTGGAGAGCAGTGAATCACTTCTTTCCGATGCAGGAAACAGAAGCATGAGATGTTAATGCATAAGGAACAAACTTGCGTAGCATTAGAGAAGGAAACGTAAGGGTTTTGGTAATGGTCAATCCGAGATACACTTCCAGCAGTCATCATTGAGGACCATGCACTCCTGAACCAATGTTTCCTTATCAAGCCTTCTCAGCTGAGTAGTGTCAGTAGTGTTAACGACACTATCCTCAGATCAGCAGTGACACGGCCTGTTCAAAATGAGCAAATATATTCCCCTACTCAGTGCCCCTTCCTGTAGCTCACTCAGTGAAACGCCACTTTCCATCTTACCTATGCTACTGGAATGAAACTGAGTCAGTTTTAAAGCGTCCTAATAGACCCAAATGTCTCCAAGTACAATGACAGCTCTTATCAAGCTGACATAGACGTAACACTAGAGTGAAGCAGAGCAGTGGTTGTGGAGGGAATTGCAGCTAAACAAACAGACATTTCCTTTGTAGTTGACTCCATTCATGTCAAAAGATCCACAAAAACCTCTGCTTCCCAAGTTTAATGTAACACATGTTTTCTTCTGTTGAATACTTCACCAGTTATATGAAAGAGCATACCATCACCTCAAACATCCTATATAGACTCAGAAAAGGAAAGGCAGAACAGATTCCAGAGATAGTGAGACAGACAGATGTTTGATCTGCTGGTTTACTCCCCACATGGCTGCAACGGCTAAAGCTGAGCTGATCCAAAGCCAGGGGCTTCTTCCAGCTCTCCCACATGGGCTTAGCGTCCCAAGGCTTTATGCCATCCTCTACTGCTTTCCCAGGCCACAAGCAAACAGCTGGAGCAAAGTGGAGCAGCCAGAATGTGAACCAGCACCAATATGAGATCCTGGCACATGTGAGGTGAGGATTTAGCCATTGAGCTATTGTGCCTAGCTCTTATATATAGACAATTGTGATATCTAAACAAAAAAGTTAAGAAAATATTAGCATTTTATTGCACTAGGACACAGAAAATATTGTTTTTCTGAGGGGCAGCATGTTTTGACACGTTACTATCTTTATTGAATTGTAGTTCAGGAGATAAAATTGGTTCATACGTGTTTATGTCAACTGTGAATTTTGTTTAGAATTTATATTTCATATTTTTGTAATGTCCAGTGTTCACATAGAATGCATGACTCATATTTGCAGGTGAAAAAGAGTACCCTATTTCTATCTTTTTGGGTCACAGATATCTATCGTTGAGTTTTTTATTGAAAACTATGCACGAATCTTTGAAGAACATAATGATTTGCTGCTTAGAAAGAGCTGGGAAAATCCCAGTACCAGCTTTGGGAGCAGCACTGAACAGGATAAAATTGTGTGGGAACCAGAAAACAGCACAGGTGAGAGCTCACTGAATTGGGATCACGGGGCAAACACGTCATATTTTGTACATAACTGAACTGGTTGTACTAAAAAACAAATAAGGCTTCCAAGGGTCATGGCAAACACTTAGATTTGCCCAAACCTTGAATAGACCTGATCTGTCTGTATAAGAGTGCCAAACATTCAGAGCCATTTCAATAATTAAGACAAAAGTGCAGCTGAGATAATGTCTTTGATTTGCAAACACCAACTCTTGCTTTTTTCAGAAACTTTTAAGTAAAACTTGAAAGTCAGGCTTGTTTTTTCCTCGGAAAAATTAACTCTGTGAATCATTTTTCAAAAATATGTGTTTCTATAGATCTATGATCATATTAAATCAGAAACCTCATGTAAGGCACCCTTGTATCATATCTGAATGCAATGTGCTTGTTTTCGGGGGATATGAATGAGTTCCATTCACCAACTGAATCCTCTCACAAACAATGTACAAGGGTAGATAACGCCGTGGAGACTCAGTTCAAAGCCAGACGCAGTGCAGAAAAAGACCCGCATGCGTCATGAGCAAACGTCTTCTCAGTCACTGACGAAAGCAAAGACACCCCTTCTTATGATTGTCTGAGGGTGTCCACATGTGCTTGGTGCTTCAGTACGTCTGGAAGACATTGCTAACTGGTGCTCAAATTATATGGCAATTTCAGATATAAAGTAATGGGTGAGGAAGAATCCATATGGAACCTAACCTAAAGTGCAGACAACCATCCTGGAATGTATAATTTCCACACTGCGTCAGAGAAAAAATGGCACATTCTGCATTCTTTCATTTTTTCAGTTTCAATATAGGAAATAGGAGGCTGTGTGTTATTGAAAGCAGATGGAAACTTGGGTGTGTTGTATGCTTGGGCTCAGGGGAACACTGCAAGCCCAAGGTGAACATGGAAATCATTATGTAATGTCTGTACCACACAGAATGAATACAGGGCCTAAATAATCACTATCAGAATTCATTTTTATGTTCACGATTATATCAGGGTCATAAAAATAATTGTTCATAAAAATGAAAACTAAACTTAAGGTGCAAAAACTACTCAGGTAGTGCAGAAGTCCCAAAGCTAGAAGTCCAAAAGCAAAACAGAGGCCACAGAGAAAAAATGCAAGGAAAACTAAGATTTTTCAGAAAAAAACCAGATATGGTGCCATTCTCCCATGCTACATGGTGGTGAGTATTAAGGGTGCCTCAAGCTCTGCAAGACACATGTTTAGTGCTGGGTGTTCATGGGGACACAGAGTGGCACCCAATTTCCGAAGGGAGAGCGCCAGAGCCTGTTTCTTTATGATATTCTAGGGGTGACGGCCAAAGGTCCAATGTGCCTGCATGACTACCCTAATTTGTAGCGCATTCAAGAGTGGGTGTTCTCAGACAAAACTCAATGTTGCAGAATGGCCCTTGTGTCCACTGACAGAGCAAGAATATTACCATCATATGTTCCTTCATTCCATCCTGTGGTTCCTTGGCTCCCCTAGGAACACCAAATGAGAACTTCCCTACAGGGCCCGATGCGGTGGCCTAGCAGCTGAAGTCCTCGCCTTAACTCACTGCAATTCCCTATGGGAGCTGGTTAATCCCGGCAGCTCCATTTTCCATCCGACTCCCTGCTTGTGGCCTGGGAAAGCAGTGAAGGATGGCCCAAAGCCTTGGGACCCTGCTGCTGCATGGGAGACCTAGAGGAAGTTCCTGGCTCCTGGCTTTGGATCGGCACAGCACCGGCCGATGGAGTCACTCGGAGAGTTAATCATTGGACAGAAGATCATCCTCTCTCTCTCCTCATCTCTGTACATTTGACTTTCCAATTAAAATAAATAAATATTTAAGAAAAAACTCCCCTACATTCTGAAACCTTTGCTCTCCCAATGCTTATCAGCTCCCTTTTCAAAGAGGAAGTACAAGTCTCAGCCAGAGTCAGAAACAGTCTGAATGGGAGGTGGACATGAAGCAGGGGTCTAGCGTGGTACTTGAAGCTGTCTCCCACCTAGGTCTCGTCTGCCTGTGCATCATGTTGTCTTTACGGTGCCTCAGAATGCCAAAGGACCCATAGTAGGAAAGTATGATGCCTAGGTGCAGATTAATCTTGCCCCTGCATTAAAGGATGTGATTGGAGGCTATTACCTAACACACAAGCAGTCCCAAGTAGACAACCCTACTTCTAAGAACATGTTGAAAGGGACCAGTGCTTTGGCCCAGTCTAATAAACAGGTAGCCATGCCATTCACCCAGAAAGCAAGGCAATGGCCTTTCCCAAGCGTGCTTCACACATCTCACGGATCTCAACTTTGGATATGGTGGCAGTAGGTATAAGAGACTGTGTGTTGCTGCTTGCCTGTGTCAAGTTGGGCGTGTTCCATGCCAATATGCACAGGTGAATCATTGATCTGTTTTTCTTTTCCTTCAGAATTGACATCGAATACCAGTCTGGATTCGGGCACAGATCCAGGTAAGGAGACAGAGCTGGGCTCCCAGGGGAACAGGAGGGGCCAATCCCGAGCTTGTTGTGTGGAACTTCAACTGTCTTCCTCTGCCCAGTGAGTGGCTGAACGGTGCCCATAACAATCTCTCTGAGAATTCCCTTTCATGTCCCCTACCATTGCAGGCCCTAACCTCGAAAGGCTCCCGTGTGCTGCAAGACGGCCTGAGTTGCGTCCATGCTTTGCACCAAGTCTTCCAGGGCACACGGGAGACGTCCGTGTCCCAGTTGCGAGGCCCTCAGACACAATGTGCAAGGGCCCTTTCCTTTTCTCAGACACAATTCAGCTCAGGTGCCATTCTCCCGTGCTGGATGGGGGTGTGTGCTGGAGGGTGCCTCAAGCTCTGCCAGAAACGTGTTGCCCGTGCACGTGTAAGGCAGGTTTTGTTTTGTGACTCTCCTCTGGAACACTGGCAAAGGCGAGTCCAGTGATTCCAGGCAGCCAGAGACCCGGGATGGCCAGCATGGCAAGCCTGAGCATGCCATGGGCCGACACTCTCGTGTACAGCCTGCATTCTGAGCACTCCAGAGGTCACTGAACTGAATTCTGATTCAATCACATAAAAAAATGGTTTCTCTAACATTCCTCTGTGCTATTGGTAACAGCAGCTTTTTTTTTAAATAAATTTTTTTATTTTGACAATCTTTACATTGTTAATTTGGGCAAAAAGGTTCAAGGGCTACAGGAAAGTGTGTAAGACTACTATTTCTATATTGTTTCCTTCATGTATCTGAGGTAGAGGGCGATATTGAGGGAGAAGCCCCACCCGGTTTCCCACCCACCCCAAGTCCTGCATGTGGGGCATGCTCTGAGATATTCGCTCAAGAGGTTTCAATAGTTCACCAGTTATGAATTGCTGCCAATCTCGCCCCTCCAAACACGATGAGGTTGTTGAAAACTCCACTGATTGACATTGTCCATCATAGCGTCTCTATTTGCCTGGTATTTTGTTGCCAACCTATAGCTGAGGTGGTTGATTAACTTGTTCCATTTTCTGTCCTTTCATGGTTAGGGTTCTGAGTCTGGCATTTCAATTGGGGAGATCACCAAAGAAACTTCGTCTGAGGTGTTCCCAGGCCAGATACTTGTATGCACCAGCAAGCACAGGGCCCAGCACAGTCCATCACCCTGGTCAGCTGGTAGTTGCAATTGCTGGATTGGTTCTGTTTTCAGCCCTGCTTTCCACTGGAACCAATGGGTGTTGCAGTCCAGCCTGGTTCTGCATAGCACATACTCGGTCTTCACCTAAACCAGTGGGAACCCGAAGGGAGCAGCCCTGGAGCCGGGAACAGCAACTTTTGAGGCCCTGTTGCCATACGGAAGCCACGGTGGCGGTGCCATTCTGCCTGGGATGGCTGGGACTGCTTGAGGGTCTCATGCTCAGGGGGCACTGGCTCAGGGCGACCCAATTCCTGCCCGCAGGCACTGGGAAATCTCCTGGCAGCACACTCCAAAGGCACTTGCCAAGACTCTCAGGATTCAACGTATCTCTTGTGAATCTTTGACTGTCTCCAAGAGGTCCATGCCAGGCTCTGGGGTCCACTGCTTGTCATTTGAAATGGCACATCTGAACGGTCGTGGGCGTGGAGTTTGTGTAGCTCCCACAGCAGTCCATGTGTGCATTTGTGTCCACTCCTGTGCACCTCCCTGCCATTTTCTGTGGAGGTCTCAATCACCCTTAGGGCAAACACCATGGAGGGAGCCTGAGCTGGGTAGGGCAAATGTCCCATCTTGCTTATGGTCATGAGACGAGTGTGTTTCCTGAAAACCTCGTAAGTCAGCTTAGGGTGGTGCGTCCTAGCGTGGTGAAACAGCTTGTGCATGTGAGCCTGAGCTAGGGAGTAGGACTGCACCCAGTCTTTGACATAGGGGTGCATCAGCTGGGCTGTGGTGTCCATGGGCCCACCCTGCTCGGGTATCATTCTCTTCAGAGAGACTGGAGGGGATCGGTTAGCATGGCTTTCTGGCATTTTCTCCTTTCTACACTCCACTTCCTTGAAACACCATGCCAGTACCACGTTGCCACAACCTGCACTACCATCCTCCTGTGGTCAGGTGGCTCAGAGCTCACCAGGACAGAACAAATATTCCACCTCGAGAGCTGCCCATGTGTCATTGAATGCAAGATGGGGTCATCCTGTTTAGTGCTGAGTGTTCATGGGGACACAGAGTGGCACCCCTCTTCTGAAGGGAGAGTGCCAGAGCCTGTTTCTTTGTGATATTCTAGGGATGACGGCCAAAGGTCTTGGCAAGTTGCAATGTGTCTGCATGACTTGACTAACTTGTAGTGTATCCAAGAGTGATTGTCCTCGGAGATGCAACTCAATGTTGTAGAATGGCCCTTGTGTCCACTGACAGAACAAGAGGCTTGCCATCATACTGTTTACTTAGCTCCACTGGGGACACCAAATAAGAACTTCCCCACACTCTGGATCCTTTGCTCTCCTAATTCTGAGCATTTTCCGTTTTGGGGGGTGGGGGAGACATACATGCCACAGCCAGTGTCACAAACCAAGGTTGAAGGAGAGGTGGACATGAAGCAGGGGTCTAGCTTGGTACTTGAAGCTATCTTCCCAGTTATGTCTCCTCATCTGGCTGTGCATCATGTTGTTCTTAGTGTGTAAGGAATGGCCAAGAGTTTTTTTAGTATCAGAGAGTGATGCCTGGCTGAGATGTGTTTGGAGACTCTTACCTAACACACAAGCAGTCCCAAGTAGAGAGTCGTAAGCACACGTAAACGGGACCAGTGCTTTGGCCCAGTCTAATAAACAGGTAGCCATGCCATTCACCCAGAAAGCAAGGCAATGGCCTTTCCCAAGCGTGCTTCACACATCTCACGGATCTCAACTTTGGATATGGTGGCAGTAGGTATAAGAGACTGTGTGTTGCTGCTTGCCTGTGTCAAGTTGGGCGTGTTCCATGCCAATATGCACAGGTGAATCATTGATCTGTTTTTCTTTTCCTTCAGAATTGACATCGAATACCAGTCTGGATTCGGGCACAGATCCAGGTAAGGAGACAGAGCTGGGCTCCCAGGGGAACAGGAGGGGCCAATCCCGAGCTTGTTGTGTGGAACTTCAACTGTCTTCCTCTGCCCAGTGAGTGGCTGAACGGTGCCCATAACAATCTCTCTGAGAATTCCCTTTCATGTCCCCTACCATTGCAGGCCCTAACCTCGAAAGGCTCCCGTGTGCTGCAAGACGGCCTGAGTTGCGTCCATGCTTTGCACCAAGTCTTCCAGGGCACACGGGAGACGTCCGTGTCCCAGTTGCGAGGCCCTCAGACACAATGTGCAAGGGCCCTTTCCTTTTCTCAGACACAATTCAGCTCAGGTGCCATTCTCCCGTGCTGGATGGGGGTGTGTGCTGGAGGGTGCCTCAAGCTCTGCCAGAAACGTGTTGTCCGTGCACATGGGGTTTTGTTTGGTGGCATGCTCTCTGGCCTTGGAACACACCCTCAGTGGACTCTGACGTAGGGAGCTCCAGTAAGGCAGGTTTTGTTTTGTGACTCTCCTCTGGAACACTGGCAAAGGCGAGTCCAGTGATTCCAGGCAGCCAGAGACCCGGGATGGCCAGCATGGCAAGCCTGAGCATGCCATGGGCCGACACTCTCGTGTACAGCCTGCATTCTGAGCACTCCAGAGGTCACTGAACTGAATTGCTGATTCAAACACAGCAGACATGATTTCTCTAACATTGTCTCCTAATGGTGGTTAGTTTCCTTTTGCAAGCGGAGATAAACACATGCCACAGCCAGTGCCACGAAGCAAGGTTGGTGGAGAGGTGGACCTGCAACAGGTTCTATCTGGAAGCCACGGTGGCAGTCTCATTCTGCCGTGGATGTTTGGAACTCCTTGAGGCTGTAATGCACAGAGGGCACTGAATTCTAAGAACTCCCGTACTTTCTGAACTTTTGCTCTCCTAATTCTGAGCAGTTTCCTTTTACAAGGTGACTCATGCCACAGCCTGTGTCACAAACCAAGCTTGAAGCAGAGGTTTACGTGAAGCAGGGGTCTAGCTTGAAACTTGAAGCTATCTTCCCATTTAGGTCTCCTCAGCTGGCTGTGCACAATGTTGTGCTTAGGGTTCCTCAGAATGCCCAAGGACCCTTAGTAGGAAAGCGTGATGCCTGGGAGTGTGAGTTGAGACTGTGCCTAGTCATAGATATCCTTCAGAAGAGAATCTTACCTCTGAGAATGCGTTGAATGGGCAAGTGCTTTGGCCTAGTGTGGATATACCTGTAACCAGACCGTTCACCTGGGATGCAAATTCTGACATGTTCTGAGCACACTCCACACATCTCTTCCATCTCAACTTTGGAAATGGTGGCAGTAGGTGTAAGAGACCGTGTATTGCTGCTTGCATGTGTCTAGTTGGGTATGTTCTATGCCAATATGCTCAGATGTATTATTATTTTTTTTTTCCAGAATTGACCTCAAATACCGATGTGGAATTGAGCAGTGATCTAGGTATGAAAATAAGTGCTAAGGCTCCGCAATGAAATGACGACAAGCTCGACTTTTTCACAACGCTATTGCATCCTGTCCTGCGCGCTCCCCCATGTGTCACTGAATTGTTCCAATTGCTGTCTCTCTGGAAATTTGCTTTTGTTTTAACCACCATTTTTTGACCTTACACCAAAAGTTCCTGTGTCCTGCGTTACTGCCCACGTTGCATCCTTGGCATCAGGTCTTCCCTTGGACATTGGAGACGTTATGGATTAACTGGAATGACCTCAGACACAATTGCAAGACCACATATCTTTTTCAGGGCCAAATCAATCTGGTTTCCTTCCTTCTGTAATATATGGTAACATTTAGTTATTTGTTTATCCCACTCGGCCAAAAATCCATTTTAGTGCTTATGTTGTTTTGTTTTTGGCATGTTTTCTGGTTGTGGACGCTGCCTTAGGGTGCTCCAGTAAGGTCAGTTTTGTTCTTCTGACCCTCCTTGAGAACTTCAAAAGTGGCCCCTTTGTCCCCCACCATCCTCAGGCCCAGCAGAGCCTTCATGGCAATCCTGCACATGCCATAATCCAAAATTTCTTGTGTCTTTTTCTTTCTGAGCACTTTGTGGTCAGTTAACTGAATTGCTGATTACACACTTTTGTTCTGTGCACTCCCCAGTTCTAGTGGAAATGTCTGCTTTTCAATAGCTTGCATTTTTCATTTTATCTGCATGACTTCCCTATCTTGTAGTGTGTTTATCAATGACTGTCCAATGGAGACCCTATTGAGGTATCAAAATTAGCCCCAAGGGCTAATGGTCATTTTTTGCTAATGACCAAAGTAACATTTTATATTTATTTTTATTGCAAAGTCAGATATACAGAGAGGAGGAGAGACAGAGAGGAAGCTCTTCCATCCGATGATTCACTCCCATTTGGGCAGTGCTGTGCCAATCCAAAGCCACAAGCTAGGAACCTCCTCCAGATCTCCCTCATGGGTGCAGAATCTCAAGGCTTTGGGCCGTCCTCAACTGCTTTCCCAGTCCACAAGCTGGGAGCTGGATGGGAAGCAGGACCACTGGGATTAGAATCGGTGCCCATCTGGGATCCCGGCAAGTGGCAAGTGCGAGGAGAGGACCTTAGCCACTAGGACTGCACTGGGCCACAATGTAACTATTTAAATTGAATTCAATTTCCTTAGCTTGGCTTGGAACAATGGGTTTATTTTTCCTACTTTCTGGATTATTCCATTTCCCGGTGTCTGTCTACTTTCTGAGTTGGGTAATTCGCGGGAACAGTCAGTTACAGAAACCAAGCTTGAAGAAGTGTTTTCTTTGGTATAGCAGCATGACTCACTTTTTGAAGCTATCTTCCCACCCACATCTCCTCATTTGTCTATTCATAAATTTTCCTCCCCACCTAAATAAATGCTTTTCATTCTAGGTTGTTTTCTTGGGTCCTCTTAGAACGCAGGGGAAAACTTTCCCACTTTCTGAAACCATTAATTTTGTAATGCTTATCTACTTCCTTTCCAATGGGAAATATACACAAACCACTGCCAGTGACAGGAACCAACCTCAAAGATCACATTGACTCGAAGCAGTGATGTGGCTCAGCACTAGAAGCTGCCTTTCTACCCATCTCTTCTTGTTTGCCTCTGTACAAAATTAAACTGATTGAGTCTCAGAAAGGCCAAGGGTCCTGTGGTAAGAGATGATAATGACTAGGTGGAGATAAACCTTGTTTTTGCTTTCAGATGTGACTGGAAGACTATTACATGTCCATATATTGAGTTCAATTTGCTTTGATTTTCTTCCACAGTAATTGTGACAACATCCTTCATATGGGACCCATTTACATGTGTGGAGAAAGAGCTATAATATGCACTGAGAAAGCGTGACAACATAAGCTTACTCAAAGCCGATATGGCTTCTGCACTTTGTACTGTTGGTTTCAGCAGGATGGACAGGTTGTGACGACTTAGAATATCTTTCATTGTCTGTGCCATTTTATGACCCCGACACTCAGCGCGACTTCATGCCAAATGTCACCAGAGTTGTCCTTCAATGCTTTAGATGCTCTGTTTCTGCACAGGAGGGATGGAGTTCTCTGGCTGAGACAGGTCCCTGTGGCATGAATGTCAAGGCCACAGTTTGGTATGGGCAATATTTTGTGGGGTGACACTGCCACTCAAAAGGCTAATTTGCATTTGGTGACTCAACATAGAAAATGCTTGTTTCAAAGTGGCTAAGTCTAGCTTCATTTTCATGAAAGTGGAGGGAGGCATTTCTTTCCCCAAGCAGTAGTAAGTAGAGAATCCTATTTCTCAGAATGAGTTGAACGTGTAAATCAGCATGGCCCAGTCTGGATGAGAAGTATGGATGGCATTGTGCTAGTGTGCAATTCATTGAAGTTTTCTGAGCATGATTCAGACGCCTCATGAATCTCAACTTAGGAGATGCTGATGGTAAGGTCTTTGAGACTGTATGTTTATGTTTCCAAATGTAAGGGAGGGGCTGTTGTATGTAGATGCACTTAGGTGATTTTTTTTTCTTTAGTATCAACCCCCAACACCGAGCTGAAATCGAGCATCCATGTAGCTATGGAAAAAGAGCTAGGGCTCCCCAGGGAGAGTGATGCCAAGCCCGAGCTTGTTTGGGGTGCATATATCATCCTGTCCTGGTCTCTGCCCAGTGAGTGACTGAAGGATGCCCAAAGCAGTCTCTCTGGGAATTCTCATTCATATTAAATACCATTTTGTGACCTTAACTTGAAAAGATTCTTTTTTTTTCAGAAGGACAGGCTGAGTTCCATCACAAGTTTCTGGAAGTGTACCAACTCTTCCAGGGCCATGGGCCATACCTATGTGCTTCCAGGGCATGGGCCATACCTTGCAATGCCCTCAGAAAGGTGGTGCAGTTTAATCCAGGTGCCATCTCCCCAGGCTACACATTGCTGTGAGTACTTAAAAGTGCCTCAGCACACTGCCAGAAATCCATTTTTCAGCTCTAATGGGCTTCTGTTTTCTGGCTGGTACGTTGACATGCAGTGGGTTCTGTTGTCAGGAAGTCCAGGCAGGCAATTTCTGCTTTCTGATCCTCCTCCATGCACCTGGAAAGGTGGGTCAAATGAACCCAATCAGATGAAACCCGGAAAACCCTTGATGGCAAGACTCAGCTTCCCAGGGGCTGTGATTCTTTTATTCTTCACCTTCTGAACTTAAGGGGGTCACTTAGCCAGATTCCTGATTCAAACACCTTGGTTCCTTTTCCAGTGCTCAGTGCTAGCAGGAAGGGCTGCTTTTGCGTCCATGTTGGCAGTATTGATGCATTCCAGCATTCCTCTTCTATCTGGGAAGGATGGAATTCCTTGATGGTCCCGCTCCCACATGGCACTGGCATTGAGGCAACCACTTTCCTCAGGTCCTCAGGCACTAGGGTTGTCTCTTAGAGACACACTGCAAAGACACTTTCCAAGACTTCAGGAATTCAATGTACCTCTTGTTATACATTGGTAGCCTCCAAAAGGCATTGAGTAAGGATCTGAAAGCCCCCTGCTTCTCCTCGAAATGGCACATCTGAGCAGATTTTGGGACAGAGTTTGTGTAAATCCTATGTGACTCCAGCTTTGTATCATATATCCTCATGTGTACTGGACTTTGATTTTCTTCCTGAGGTCTTGACAAGCACCAGAGGAACCTGCATGGTGGGTGTCAGAGACTGGCAGGGAAACCTCTCATGTTCACTGTGTTCATAGATGCATCTGTTTCCTGAGAACACCATCAGTCTGCCGAGAGCTGTGTGCCTTAGCATGGTGAAATGCTTGTGATCATGACCCCGTGCCAGGGAGTGAGAGTGCAGGGATCTTCCACCCAGGGGTGCATAGGCTGGGCTGCAGCTGTGAAAGTCTCCATGCAAGTGTCAGCTTCTTTTACTTCCTTTACTCCAATTACTTGAAACACCCACCTGTACTGAATTTTCAGAACCTGTGCAACCTTCCTCACCTGGCCACATTCCTCAAAGCTGTCCACTTGAGATGAATTTTCTGAGAGTTGCCTGCAGGTTCTGGAAAGCAACAGTGGTTATCCTTTCTTACTTGACTTTCACCGCTATCCAAAATCACATATTTGGGCTTATTGTTTTCTTTATTTCCTCTAGACCTAGTTCCTTCCTTCTACTTTTTAAAAAATATGGAATGGGCAGTTTTGAGGCACCAACTATAACCAACTATCACATTCCCCTTCCAAGAATGACTTGTAGATGAAATTTGATGAGGTCCGCATAGTATACTCTCTCAGTATGCTCTTGAAAGACTTAGCTTTAGTGAGACTCAGAAAGGCTTGAAAAAAAGAAAGAAAAAAGGAAGGGAGGAAGGAAGGAGGAAAGAAAGAAGGGGGAGAGAAAAAGGAAAGAAAAGAAAAGAAAAGAAAGGAAAAGAAAAGAAAGGAAAAGAAAAAAGAAAGTCCACGGTGCAGAGGATCTTGATGGAATTGTTCCTAAGCAGTGTGATTCCAACGCACATTAGTCTAATCCTCATGTGAAATGGCTCCAGGTACATTAGAACAATCTTGATGTGGGATGATTCCAACATACATTAGTACAGTCCTTAGTGAGGCACTTCCAATGTACATTAGTATCGACCTTATATGAGATGGTTCCAGTGTACATTATGTGAGACAGGAATATTTCTCCATAAACCTCAAAGGAGATGTGCTTATAACCCAATATTCCCACAGCTAGGAATTCATTGAAATAAAAGGAAATAATCATGTAAAGGTTTTGGGCCCTGCGCTGTGGCCTAGTGGCTAAAATCCTCGCCTTGAACACATCAGGATCCCCTATAGGCACCGGTTTTAATTCCGGCAGCTCCACTTCTCATCCAGCTCCCTGCTTGTGACCTGGGAAGGTAGTCGAGGCTGGCCCAAAGCCTTGGGACCCTGTGCCCGTGTGGGAGACCTGGAAGAAGCTCCTGGCTCGTGGCTTCAGATTGTCACAGCACTGGCCATTGTGGTCACTTGGGGAGTGAATCATTGGATGGAAGAGCTTCCTCTCTGTCTCTCCTCCTCTCTGCATATTTGACTTTGCAATAAAAATAAATCTTCAAAAAAAAAAAAGATTTGCTGTATCCTCATGTTAATATTAGTCCAATTCACAATAGCTAAGATCTGTTTTCAACTTAGATTGTTCCTGCACTAATTACTACATAACAATGGTGTATACATAAAAATGTATATATACATTATGGTATGCTATTCAGCCATGCAAAAAATAATTTATACAATGGAGAAAGCAGTATACCTGGAGAAATTAGGCACTCTTCCTAAGCCAAATATATTTTCTAGGAGAGAATACAGTTAGCATTGAGTATCAAATATATGTACTTATAGGATAAATAAATATATACAGACATTTGTATAAATATTAGTGCATAAATATCTTTCTATATATAATATCAAATATATATATGAAGCATATTTGCAAACAAAGAACAGAAAGGAGGAACAAAGGGAATCTGAGGCAGAGGTCCTGGGAGGGGGATGGTATCATGGACATGGACTTATGAATGTACCTGGGGAATCAAGGTTGAACAGCAGGTTTTATGTCTGATATTGTAATGAGTATGTCTCCTAAATATATTCTTAGGCAGCTTTGGGCTTGTCTGCAGTGGAACCAACATAACCTGCGTTGCAGTCTGAGCCAGTGTCAGAGACACTGACTGACCAAAACCTCTACTAGGGGAGGATGTCATGCTCGGTTTCAAAGTAGATCACCCCAACTTGACCTCTGTCTTAGGAGTAGCTGAAGAGCTGGCATGACGCCTAAGTATTTTCTCCTGCCTTTCCTATATATAATTGAACATTTGATCAAGAACACACTTGCCAAAATGCTAACAACCTTCCCAGTTTGTATTGAAATCGTAAACCAGTTCCTGCTGAGGAGGAACAAGTTGTTGATGTGCAATTGGCATTGTGGTCCCTGAGCTCAGGCAATGGTGCTGCAAGTGCATGTTCCATGATAACAGATTCTGTACCTTTACTCTTCCTTGTGACTATGGTTTTTGTAAAGGGAAATTGCACTGTTTTCAGACAAAGATAACATCAGGAACAGTAGGGAAGCATGTGAGAATTTAAAATAGGTCTTTTTTGTCTTAAGGAAATGAAATCTGTGAATCATTTTCCAATGATATCTGTTGCTATGGACTGATTGTGATGAATCCAAAATCATGTAAATCCACTATAAACATGTATCTTATTTAAATTCAGGATATACCTTCTTTGCCAGCCATCTGCTGCTAAGAACGGAGTGTTGCTTGAACAAGATATGTTTGGTTTTTGTTCACCAGAAAACTTGATACTTCAGTGGTGGTGTGACACAGTACAGAGAATCATGGCTGAAAAGAAATGATGTCAGACCTGAGTGAAAAGGCAGCAGAGTCTGTTGCTGGGACATGTGCACTCCAAGCCTTTGCTGTGTCTCTTTTCATTTCCCAGAATTTCCTTTTCTGTCCTTTATCAATGTTTTAACAAAACCGAAGTGGCTGTTTTTTTCACACATGTTTTCATTGCATTTCCTCACTCCACTTGATTCATTTGGTCTCTACCCTAGGCGGATAGAGTTCCTTGAAGAAAATTGTCTCAGAGGCACATAGATTGAGGCAACCACTTTCCTCAGGTGGTAGAGTGACAGTTCACAGTGGCACAGAACATGTGCAGCCTCCCCAGTTGGATGAATTCCTTGGAATTGTGCAGGTAGACCATTCTTCTGGGTTGAGAGTTGTTTTGTGTCCTGAAAACCAAGACAGTAGTCACCTGCTCTTTCCCTGATGCATCACAGCATAGAGTGGCATTCATCTACTGCCCAGAAACTTTCCTCTTACTTTTCTGGGTCTGTAAGGGGCAGTTCTTAAAACACAATGCAAAATCAGTAATGAATCCCATCTTCAAAATCTATTTGAACACAACGAGTGTTGTGGCTCCAAACTGGTTGACCCCTCCTTGTCAATCGCTCATAGAATGCCTTGAAACGATTTTTCATCATGGAGCCTCGCAAATGTCATGAGTCTCATTGAAGGAGACTGTGATGTCTGGGTGTATGAATATGTGTGATGCTGTTCTCAAATGTGGATATAGTGTCTGTTGCCTGAAGACATACTCAGTTTATTTGTTTTACTTTTCCTTCAACAGAGATCCTGAACGCCACGATGGATTCAACCTCAGACTCAGGTATGGAAAAAAGCTTGGATTCCCAGTGAAAACTGATGCCAAGGTTGAGCTCGGGTTTCATGTCTACTGTAACTCTGTCGCATGCCTCTTCTGGTTCTTTTTTTCATAGCTTGGCTACGGTTTTTAAAATTTATGTCTTTGACATCCTCAATGTATGCCATAGGCATAGAGCGATAGATTTTCTGGATAGAGAAGTGCTGTTCTGGCACATGCACTGAGACCCCCGAATTCTCTAGTGATTTACTCTGTTTCAAATGGACAGCTGCCCATTGAATGGCCACTCTACATGTTACCAGAACTTTTCAGGATTCCCAGCTATACCATTGATTCAGATCAGAGGGGTATTTCAGTGCTGGAGCTATGCATGTTGCTCCAATATAAAGAATAGTTTAGCAGTGAAATTAGAATGACAAGTGTTTAGTCAGAAACTCTAGTCCCTTTACCCTTTGTGTTCTAAGTGCATTCTACATCACCGACTTTTTGTTTTGGTCTCATAAAGTCTGTGACTCAATGGGATAATGCATGGATGTCAATGAACTTATTTTGGTTGATATTGAATCTATTTTCTGCAAATTATGGAGAGAGTTTAACTTTTTTATTGAAAGTACAAAGGACAGCAGAACACAAATCTGATATAACATTGACTAGTCTAAGTACTCTTGTGAGCATGCATTAATGGATGCAAATCTGGGTGCTGATTTGGCTAATCCTGCCTCCTATGTTGCTAGGGAATGATGTGTCAAATGAACTTGGTAAGCCAGAGGTCTACGATGCCAAGCCTGAGTTGGCTATGGACCCAAATTATCTTCTAATCTGTGCCCTCTATTTCATGTGCTCACTTAGCCAAATCCCTTGTTCAAGCACCGTATGTTCTCCACCAATCCACAGAACTAACAATAAGATCTACTTCTCCTGCGATGTCGGCATTGGTGCTTTTCAACATTCTTTCTGCCTGAGAAGGATTGGATTCCTTAGTGGCCAGTTCCCACAGGGCGCATACACTGAGGGAGCCACTTTCCTTCCTGTGATGCTGGGGTTGTCTCTCAGTAGCACACTCAAGAGGCACTTCCCGAGACACCAAGAAGCTTGTTTTCTCTCTTTTTCTACTTTGGCTCTGAAAGCCACTGCTTGTGAATCAAAAATACACATCTGAGAGGAATTGGGGAAGGAGTTTGCATAACTTTCTTTTTTACATTGTATTATGCAACACAGTTCCATAGGTACTGGGATTCCTCCCACCCTTCCCATAACCCTCCCCTCATGGTGGGTTCTTCCACCTTGTTGTGTAACCACAGTTCAAGTTCAGTTGAGATTCCTTCATTGTAAGCATACACCAAGCATAGAGTCCAACATCTTATCATCCAGATAGGTTCAGTGGTTTCTAGGGAGACCTTCTCTGGTCTGAAGGCAGAGCCAACAGAGTAAAATCCCGATCGATCAAAAACCCCAACATAACATCAGCAACAGTATACAACGCTATGGTACTAATTGACATAGTATCGAGTAAACAATATATTGTAAATAATGCAAGTTCTTAACCACATCCTATGACTACTCCATTGACATTTCCACAATTGAGGTGCATAACCGTTATAGGAAGGGTGTGCAGAGAAATCTTCAGTACCTTGGTGAGGAGTACTTGCTCTGTGTCCTACCTAGTAAAGTATGTGTGAGTCCATGCTGACCAAGCTTTCCTTGTTGTTCTCCGTTTATCTATTCTGATTTGTGTGTGTGTGTTTGGAGGGGGGGCTCTGGAGCAACCCTGACAGTTGTTGCAGAGAGGGTGGAGACCCAAAGTTGGAACTAAGTAAGGACAAGAGAAAGCTTCTCTCCTTAGTCCCGAAGGAAGTTTACTGTTCTTTTGATTCCGAGGACTGCTCTGGGTTCCTGGCTGTTGTTCTGACGTCCTTGGATCCTACAAGGAAGATTTTGGGCTTCTTTCATCCCATGTAGTAGATCCAGGGCGGGGGGGAGGGGCAGTGCATAACTTTCAAATGATTCCATCATTGCATTTTATCTCATGATCTGTGCTTAAGTTTGGTTGTGTTTCTGAGGCTTCAAGAAGCCTCACCAAGAAATCCACTGTGAGTGATTGATGCTGGGACGGCAAATCTCCTATGTGTGCTCTGATCCAGAGCGGAGTCAGTTTTCTGAACACATCCACTGACATCATGAGCTTTTCTGCGTTGTCACCATTACTGGGGAATGCTGCTCAGTGTCTGTTACTGGGACTGGACCACATCCTCCAAGCGTGAATAGGCAAGACCACAGCTTGGAAAGGGGTGCACCCATATCAGAAATCCTCTGTCTTCTGAGGGACTTAATGTAGTATTATGCATGGTTTCTTGGCTATTTGTTCTTTCTGCCTTATAGTTAGATGAAATACCCACTGTGAACTAAGTTGCCAGAATCTGAGTAACCTTCTTCACCTGACAAAGTCCTCAGAACTGCCTGCATCAAGCAGAAGACTGATTTTGCACTTTTCTGCTTACTATAACCTTTCCCTTTTCTATGTATTTACCTTTGTTCTTTAATGATGAAACTACACTGGTAAAAATGTGATTTTACTCATAAAGTTAGAAATACAATAGTGTATTTAAAGTAATACTTGTATTGCTCTGAAATGACCAAAATTATGAACTATGTTATCGTGGATAAGTTTCCATAAAGTGTGTCGTATGCTGGCAATCTCATAAACACCCACATTGTGAGGATGCCTGTGGTGTAAAGCATTGTGTTCTAGTTTCCAGTTAGTTAAACGATAATTGAAAACATCGTAAGAATTTATTTATCTCCAATATTCAACAGATGATGTCCTACCAATATGGAGTCTGATGCCTTGTCAGGTATGTTGACTGAACAAATTATTTCAATGGCAATTGATGACTTCTGTCCCTTGACCTCTTAGTCAATACAGGGTAGTGTCAGCCTAGTTTCTTAGCGTTTTCTTTCATTTTCCTTGGGCTTGCTTTCGTGTAACACAACGGGCAACCCTGTCAAAACCACATGTTTGAGTTTTCTAGCTTCACTTGAGTCCTACAGCTTATGCACAAGGAGGACGGGGTTCCTTGGGAGAGAATTAGCCAAGAGGCCCTGCAACTGAGACTACACGTTGGCTTCATGTTTTTCGATCCCTTACTTGTTGTGGGACACGAAATAGGCATTTTCAGCTGCTTTTTCACTTGATTTCTATCCCTTGTCTTTTGATTTATCAAAGTGTGGCTGTGCTGCCAAGTACAAAAATGTAATCATTGACAAAAATGTAAAATCGAAAAATAAATTTAGCATACAGGCTTGTTTTCTCCAAAAAGTATTCAGTCTAGGCATCAAATTCTCATCAAGCATTAACCATGTAGACTTTATTGTGTCTCAGAAACCACATGAGATCCACATCATGGGCCTATCAGGTTTTGATATTTTTTCACTGCCACTCAAGGTTGAAATGAGTATATTATCTTGAGCTATACTGAGAAAACGCCTGGCTTTGCTTTAGCAGAAGAAATTATGCCAACACTGACATCTAGACCAGTGTCACACAGAATGGCTGACCGAAATTCTTGAGTGGCAGATGATGACTGACCTAGAGTATGGGCCCATTCATGTCTCCTGTGCTCTATCTACTGAGTTTTAGAAGAACACGGTTGGCATTATTCTTTAGGATTTTATTTCCCAATCACTTCTTTTGACCTCACAATAAGGACTACTTTTTCTCAAATGCTTGCATAAATTTTCTTACATTGCTTGAACTCTCCTGGTTTTGTCCATGAGGAATGGATGGGATTCCTCAGGAGAGCATGCCACAGTGGAACCTGCACTGAGACAACCATTTGCTTCAAGTTATTCAGTCATCGTCTTGCAGTTGCATACTGAATGGACACCTTCCGAGTTACCAGATCCATTCAACTAATCCATCTTTATCCATTTGTGATATTATAGTGTAATCCTTTCTTTCTACACAAATAGCATTCATAGATAAAAATAAAACATTTTAATGGTGAATCCAGAATACAAATGTGTTTTAGTAAAACATTTAAGTCTACCCATCATACCACGAACTATGTTAATTATTCCGCATGAAATATCAAAAGTCTCATGAAAATCTTCAGTATAAGTGTATGGTGCTGTATTTATTTTGCCACTGTCCTGTACGTAAGTGCATCTAGTTCTGTAAAATTTTAAAATACAGCTTCATTTTCCTGCAACAGAATGAATAAATCTCAATTAGAATCCCACCCATTGTTCAAGAATGGTGAGTGTACAAGGATCATGCAGAGAGAGGAAGTCAGGCCTGAGCTTCAGCTCAGCATTATTCATGAGTCCCCTAAACTAAGACAACCATTTTGGCTTCATGATGAATGAGAAGCATTTTCCCTCAGAAACTACTAAAGCCACGAGCCTTTTTGCATTATGTACAGTTTACTAAGCTGATCTTAAGGCCGGCTTAGAAGACGAGTAATCTGCAATAGGAGCCTGTGCTCCTTGGATATTGAATGATTTAGTTTGTTCCCATCAGATGTGCAGCTGGGTCTGATATGTAAAAAGTATCCTGACAATTTTTTTTCTTCAACAGATCATGTAATATGGCTACCAACATTGACCCAGAGCCAGGTATATTGAATGACCCAAATCTCCTAATATGAAACAACACCTCGCCTGACCCTATAGGAGCCCACATTAGTCACCTGTCCTCTGCCCTCTTAGTTACTGAAAAGCTGATTTACCGTAATTCCAGGAGATTAAAATGGTTTTCTGTATGTTATACTCAAAGGATTATTTTCCAGCACGTTTCACTTTTCTAACTTTACTTGAAACCGTAAGTTTCTATCCATTAATGAGTTCCTTCTAGAGAATCAGACATGTGGCATCTGGACTAGCTCTACTGTTAACTCTTCATGTTTCCCTGATATTGGTTTTCAGTAGAACACTGAAATTGCCGTTTGCAAGCTACTAGGTTATTTTTTATGTCCTCATTCTTTGGCCTTTACAAGGAGTAGTTCTTGTGCTCAGGATACACTGTGACATTGAATAGAAAATTTAAAAATGTATGAACAAGTATGCAATAGGAAGTTGTTTTGTTCCAAAAGGTATCATATCTATGCATTATTTTTCATCAATTGTAATTTTTTCATCAGCCAGTCTCCAAGGTGAATTGAATACCTTCTTAAAATTCTCATCATGTGTATCATGAGTATATTTTACTGTGGCCGAATTATTTTTTTACTTCCCTCAGATGTTGATATGAGACTGTTGCCTGAAAATATATCAAGAAAATAGCTTGTTTTTCTTCAGCAGAGGGAATCAAGCAACACATGCAAAGCAGAGACACTGAAGTGTGATGAATGACCGGATTACACAGTGAGATGGGGTCAGCCTGAGTGTAGCATAGGCCTGCCCATGTCTACTGTCCGCTTCCTTCAGAGGTGCTGAGGACTGAAGTGCACAGTTGGCATGATTCCTTATTATTATTTTAAATTTCCTATATACATACTAAGGACTACTTTTTTCTAGAATGATTTAAGACATTTAAAAAAAAACACTTTGCTTTAGCATCTTCTGTTTCTGTCCACTAAGAATGATGGAATTCTTTGATACAAGGCATCTAAACTAAAACAACCATTTTGTTTCAAGTTATTTTATCATTGTCTCACATTTGTACATTGAATGGAATCATACCAAGCTACCAGATCCTTCAGTGGATCCCTGTTTTTTGCAACGTAACATGGTAATCACAGTGTTTTCTGTAAATATAGTATTAAAAGATAAAAACAATCAATGTAATGAGGATTTTGAATATGAATTCATTAGGACCAGAAAGGATTAAGTAACTTTTTTTCACAACTTGTTTTTTTTCTGAAATTTTCTGTATGAATTCTCAGAACTCCCATGAATATCCTCAGGATGAGTGTTGATGTTGGGTTTATAACAATCTGTTTTTTACTCTTTGTTGTGGAGTCTGGTTTGTAAAACTGTCCTAAGAGAGCTTTAGTCATTTTTTTCTTGGATGGATTAATAACACCATTCCCAGATCTGATCCACACTGAATTTCAGTGATTGACCTGGGCCTTCTATTTAGAGGGAATCGCAGGAGTGATGCTGGCATGCTCACTGCCACGTCTTCTGTCCTTTGTCCTGTCAGTCACTGAAGGGCCCATTTGGCATGATTCCTTAGGATTTATTTCTTTACTTTCCCTGTAACAGTTCTAACACAAACTCCTTACACTGCTGATTATTGGCAATGGTTTGATATTCCCTTCATTGCTTAGAAGACAATTTTGGAGGAAGCCCTTAAATCAAGATTCAAGATGTCTCCACAATCTGAGAAGATTATTAACCAAAGCAATCTTTCATTTTTTCCTTCAACAGAGAAACAACCCAGCAACTGGAAAACTAAATGATTTGCAACAAGGCTCAAGAAATCTTACTAACTGAAGACACATCTAGTATGGGGCCACACAGCTCTTCAAAATATTTTCTGCATATTCAAGTTTTATTATTTTTCACACTTCTGTATGACTGATTTTCCTAAATTCCAATATTAGGCCAGCTACTTTAGAACAAAATGCAAAATATTCAAATTTAGATGAAATTTATGTCCAGAAATAGCCAACACGTTTGTTAATCAACTGCATAGGAATCACCACAAACTGAATCACCACAATTTCTTTTAGCATTGATAAACTTCATACAGATCTTCATGCAGTAAGAAGCTGTTTGCAAAATACCAGCTTAATTATTTTCACACTTTAGTTTCCAACATTATTGTTCAAGGGGATGTGACAGTTCCTACATTTCAATTTCAAGATAAAGTAAAAAAATATATAATAATGAATTAAAGACATGAGAAAGTATTGGTACAAAGCTTTAAATCTATGCATTTTCAGTATGTATTTTTGTAAATTTTTTTCTGACCTTGTCTCAGAATATAATATTCATATTATATTCATGAATATTATATATATTCATATATATCATGAATATTATATTCTGAGACCTTAGAAAAAAATTTATGAAAATATATACCATAGAAATGTATGCATGTATTTAAACTGTTTGCGCCAGTACAACTCATGCTTAACTTCATTTTGATGTTATTTTACTTTATCTGTTATTTTTTTGTTTTGAAATTTTTGTTAATTTGTAATTTTTAAAACTATATTTATATACCATTCATGAACTGATTGACATCCCCATGTCAAATAATGACTTAAAATACCATTGAAACTGAAGATTAAGTATCAATATTACAAACCATTTCATCGGCAAATATACCAGTGCTATTAAGTAAATATTGCATGTGAAAATGTCAATATAGTGGTGATTCCTAGCCAACATTGGAAATACTTGCTAATTGAACAATTTAATATTAAATATCCAGAGATCTGATACCTAATTTATTTTCAGACAAAAAAAAAAAGAATCAGAACATCTTTCTAAATACATTTTCTGAATTTTAATTCCTGGAATAAATTCATCAATTTGAAAATAATTTATCAAATATATGAACTAAAAATCTTTGTTATATAAGTCACATGCAGAAACGCAAAATGACTTCTGTAAAAAGTATCATTTATAGACATGTCTGTGATACAACTCCCTGGAAATATTCTAAGTCATAGCAGTTTCATGTGACATTAGACAACCTGGTGACTATTCTATATGTATTCATGTGAATTTCCAAAATCTGAATGACAGAGCAATGGTACCATATTTATTGAAAATAGGGTACTGCTCACTTATACCTATGTTGACATATACCAAATTTGACTTATACCTACTTTGACCTACTTAGGAAAAGGATTTTAAGAACAAATTTAACAACTAAAAACTGAATGAAAGGTATTCTTAAAATCTTAGTTCCTAATACCAGATTTTACGACCTATAGAGATGACCTGTACATTAAACAGGTAGAGGAAGACGTAGGACCGACATTCAACAGCAACTCATGCGTCCTATAACTACTTTAACTATCATATATATGTATTCCATAAACACATTTTATGAATCCACTATAAATCTATTCATACTAATTTTTCATCATAACAAAGAATCTGTTGATTCTATGTCATGTCAAGCAATAATACTGCAAAGTACATAGTACATTTTTATTTGAGAATATTTTCCTTGATCTACCTTTGAAATTCTAGACTTTATTCTGAATTTTTTGTTCACACAATAAAGATTGTTCATGACTTACTGGCATTGACAATTTTGTTTGCTCGTGATTAAAGCATGCCTAGGTGCCCAGCTCAGCTGGGTATTTCTGGTCTCACTGGGTCATTCAAGGCCCTGCAGTCAACTGACAGTGTCACCGGGGTACTTTGCTGGCCTTTCAGCTGCCTTTTTAAAAAATCTCTTGATGACAGCATGTTTGCCCTGCCTTCTGTTTATGGAAAAGGAAGAGTTTCCAGTAGCAAGAGATGTCACTTTTCACACTTCTGCTTGCTTTACACTGGCCAAAGTTCAGCGGTGCATGGTGGAGCTAAGATTCAGTGAATGACGGAGATGCATAGAGCAGATACTTCTTTTAAGTTGACTCCTCTCTCCAGCTGCATTAGCCCCACTACTCCAGTGTCGTCACTGTAGATTTGGAAAGGCTCTGGATTGTGCACTCATTTGGAGGAAGGAACCAGCAAGTGGAAAGTCACTCTGTTCCTCCTTAATTCTTAAATTCTTAACCCTTAAATCAAACATTCCTGGTTTATTTTAACAGACCATGTTGGAAAAGTCATGTTTTTCAACATACATATTTCCCATGTACTGACTGAATAACCTTGAATAAATACATAAGATGTCATTCAGTTGCTTACTAAACAACTGAATACAGGGTTTTTTGACATTTAGGAACATTAGTTTTTTTTGTGACATATATTTATGTGAGTTCTTCATACTTATACACATAAACTTGGTGAATTTTCAGGCATTCTGTAGAAACCAGCAATGGGTGGAGTCAGGTGGTGTGGGGTGGTGTGGGGTGGTGTCCCAGGGGGCCAAGCCTCAGCCAGCCTGCCTGGTGGATGATCTGTATGGGTGATGATTCAAATCCTGGCTGCTTCCCCTGCAGCCCAGCTCCCTGCCACTACTCATGGGAGAGCAGCAAAGGATGGTGCAGGGGCTTGTGCCCTTGTGCCCCTGTGAAAGATCTGGAGGAAGCTCCAGGTTCCCAGGCTTGTTGTGGTCCAGCCACAGCTGGCTCTGGTGGTGGTCCTTGGGAAGCGTGCCAAAAGATGCAAGAAAGATTGTTCTGCCCCCTCTCTGTTCCTCTGTGCTTCAAAGCCAATAGGACAGAGGCAGGCAAGCAGGCAGGTAGAAACGGAAAGCTGCCGGCCTCCTGGGAGGGAGCATGCTGTGTGCTGTGCTCTGGCTCTAGACCGCTTTTGACTGCCAATGTAGACCCCAAGGGCATGTGTAGGGCTTCTGTTATGGCACTCCTGTGCAACTTGTAAAAAGAATGTCCTTGAGAGGGACTGCCTTTGTGGCTGGGCTGCTTCCCTAGATCTGGCAGGAGAGGCCTGGAGGAGCGTCCTGCAGTGAGTGCTATTGGCCACGAGAGGGCGCGCAAAGCTGCCCTTTGTATCCCGGGTGGACTCAGGCCTTGTGAGTGCTAGACAGCCCAGCCCTGAGCCGCCCCAGCGTCAGGTGGGGGTCCCGGGCAGTGCTCCCGGACACATGTCATTAAAAGACCAGGGGTCCAAGGCTGAACGGCCCGCATATCAAGGCCCAGGAGGGGGTGTGGGACGCTTGGTGCCTAGCATGAGCCCGGGCCTCTGTGGTCAAAGTGTCAGGGTGCCTTCCCCAGCAAGATACTCCATCAGGACACCCAAAGAACTCTGGGAGTTGCAGTCCCACGTCAGTGTGCGTGCTCAGGGCTCTGTGGGAGTTGCAGTCCCACGTCAGCATGCTGAGGGCATTGTGGGAGCTGGGGTCCTACGTCAGCACGCTCAGGGCACTGTGGGAGTTTGAGTCCCACGTCAGTCTGCGTGCCCATGGGCTCTCTTTTAAGTTGTAGTCCCACGTCAGGCCACTTAAATACTCTTGCCGCTGGCGTGATGAGGCATTTTGAGAAAAGATGTTCCACTAGGTAGCCTTCGAACGGGCGCTCTGGGACAATAGACACCATCATCTTGTCTCTCGAGGTGCATTCTGAGACGTCTATATTCCAAGCACTGTTCTGCCCCTCCCCCCGTCCCTTCCGCGCAGCACAATTGAGCACAGCTGAGCACAGCCGAGCTCAACCAAGCAGGCATGCAGTGCTATGTTCGTGTTGCAGTGGAAGGAGATGGTCAGGCTTTTATTTTTATTGGAAAGGCAGATATACAGAGAGGAGGAGAGACAGAGAGGAAGATCTTCTGTCCGATGATTCACTCCCCAGGCGGCCGCCACGGCTGGAGCTGAGCCAATCCAAAGCCAGGAGCCTCTTCCGGGTCTCCCATGTGGGTGCAGGGTCCCAGAGCCTTGAACCGTCCTCGACTGCTTTCCCGGGCCACAGGCAGGGAGCTGGATGGGAAGCGGGGCTGCTGGGAGTAGTACCAGCACCCAATTGGGATTCTGGGTGTGCAAGACGAGGACCTTAACCACTGCGCCACCGCACCGGGCCCAATGGCCAGGCTTTTGGGGCACACTTGGGAACTTGTACTGTAGGTGGCAGAAGTCATGAGCAGGTATGACGGTGGCCGGGGAACCACCTGGGCCTGGACGAGGGAGCGCTTTCAGGGCCTGTGCTCCCGGCAGCACAGGCCTGGACCCCTGGACTGTTTCCCCGCAGCCCTTCCTGCACTCTGTCCTGAACCCTTCTTTTGGAGAGGCTCTTTGGGGAGGTGCTCCCCCGTATCCCTGCCCTCTACTCACACACTCGTCACCCCTTACCCACTTGCCTGTGCCTTGGCCGTGCACCCCAGACCCTCCTGGAGGCCCCCCGCAGCTGTCTTGCCTACCCCTGCCCGCTCAGTGCTTGATCTCAAGTTGTCCTGATAGACACGGCTTTCCTGCTCACTTGCTTAGTGCTGGGCTCTGGCAACAGGTCTGTTATCCTCCTGCTTTTTGGCAGAAGCCCTGCCCTTCCTCGTGGGTGTCTTCAGGCTCCAGGCCTTCTCCAGCGCTCTCTCTGGTTGCTCCTCATCCCTTTTCACAAGACACTTTCCTACCTGGTCGCTCGACAGCTCAAGCCCACGTGGATGGCTGTGGCCTCCCCACAATGGCCTGCTTGCTTGCTTGCTCTTCGTGTGTCAGTGCTCATGACCCCCTTTCCCAGGTGCTGGAGTCTGTCCCTGCCCTCCTGCCTGCCTGCCTGCCCACTGTCTTTCTCTCCTACAGGGCCTGTGTGTGTATGTGTATGTGTGTGTCCATGAGGGCCCACAAGCCTCCTCTTGCCACAACCTCGGTGGCATGGGTGTCCAGCGTGGCCTCCCATGCCATCTCTGGGCATGGGCTCATGAGGACCCCTTTCCCTTTGTCAGGGGCTCCGAGGAAACACTCGAGGGCTTAGGCATCCCTGTCGTGTGCATTTGAGGCAGGAATTTGGCCCCACGGCCTCCAGCCAGATGCTGCTGCCATCTCATTCACCAGAGAACGCTTCACCCTCCACCAGGGCCATCCCGGACTCACGACTCTCTCTCCTGCAGGCCAGCCATGGACCATCGGCCACCGCTGATGTGCCACCTGCCACCTGCCACAAGACACCCAACGGCTGATGTGTGTTCTCCACAGAGTTCCTTCTCACCAGGACAGGTAGAGTAGCAACATGCCTGGATCCATCTCTTTCTCTCTCTCCCTCTATTCCTCTCCCTATTTCTCTCTCTCTCCT